TGACTGTTGAGTTGCTCAGTATCTTGCAGAGAACACTGCCTGGCATGATCTTCTGCAGGGTATTAACATGGCTGTGGTGGTGGTCAGGTTTGCTCCTGGTGATGGATGATGGGCTTGTGTGAATTGCCTGGAGTGAAGCAGCTCCCTGTCCTTTGCAGGCACGGCTCAGGAGTACGGGGGGATTATTCGTCATGGTGCCAAGCTGCTCTTTGCCTTTGCAGAGGCAACTGTGCCTAAGATCACTGTCATCACTAGAAAGGTAAGCTGGCAAATTCCATGGAGGTCTTCCGGAGTTCCTTTTGAACCAGTGGCAATTTTAGTTAAACCAAGCTTTGTCCATCTGTCCCAGTGGTGCTTTCTATCATTGTCACATCTCTGTTTGTCCCATTTGGTAACACCTCCTTGTATAACATTATGAGAGGCCACTTCTATTCCCAGACTTAGTTCCTTCCTTCCACTTGTCTCTGTACCCATCTGGAACTCCCAATTTCTGCTCCCTGCTTTCTCTCTGGAATGCCTTCACTCAAGTACTTGTCCTGTGTCACCCAGCCTGTCTCACTAAGGACATGCCATCTGTTTGCAGCAATTCTGCTTTCTTGCCTCTTGAGCCTCCCTCTGCAAACCCAGCACTGGCTACATCTGTCTTCTGCTGTCTGCAGGCTGAACACTCACATGGCTTCTTTTCCTCCCCAGACTTCTGCCATGCTCTACCTCATCTTCCTTTCTCCATAAGGTACCTGACACCCTACTGCCATAAGCTCTGGGGCTGGCACCTTACAACCTCAGCCTTCTCCTTGCTGCTCTGCCCCTCTTGCTTGTTTTTCTGATACTCTCTTGGTAAAAATCTAAAAGAACTTTCTGTTCTTTGCCTTCTCTGATTTTTCCAAGTATTTCCATGCAGTACTTGTCCATCCTGCAGCCCTGCTGCACTGTTCAGTACTGCCCTGACAGGGACTGCACTGCAGTTTGCTCTGCAGTCCTGCAGTATCTGTTCATCACTGCTGTCTGGAGCATTTCCAGTTCCAGAGTGGAGCACTGCAGAGCCTGAGTGCTGCATTCCCTGGCCAGGAAATTCCAGAAGCACACTGCCTGCTTGGTTTGTGTGCATGTGCAGGGTGCAGGTTGAGGCCTGCTGGTCTCGGTACACACTGACCCCTTTCTGCCTGCCTTGCAGAATGGGCTTTGTCAGCAGCCCCCTTCCTTGCTCTTTTGGGGCTCTGGTTGAAGTGATGTCTGTTCCTAGGAGATGGCTGCCACAAAGTGGAGATGCTCACGCTCTCCTTCAGAGTAAACCCCCAGCTGCTTGTCTCTGGACTAGGCAAAGCTGCAGGAGCAATGCAGGCTGTTGCTGCTGCAGGGCCACTCCTGGAGTGGCTGCCCTGGTTTGTGTCACAGGCCTATGGAGGTGCCTACGATGTGATGAGCTCCAAGCACTTGCGAGGAGATGTGAACTACGCCTGGCCCACAGCTGAGGTGGCCGTGATGGGAGCCAAGGTGAGTCCAGGCCCTCCTCACTGCGGTGCAGCAGTGCCCTGCCAGCAGCACCAGAGCCCTGCCAGCAGCACCAGAGCCCTGCCAGCACCGTGGCAGGGCAGTACTCCCTCACCTGGAGGGCACAGCCTGAGGAACTGTCACTGACAGAGCCCTTCTGTTCCCAGGGTGCTGTCCAGATCATCTTCAGAGGAAAGGAGGCAAATGCAGAGGAGGAGTACGTGGATAAGTTTGCAAACCCTTTCCCTGCTGCTGTAAGAGGTATGGTTGTCTCCCACACTGTTTCACTTGGTTTGCCATTGCATGGAGATAAAGTTGTGCTATTGAGTAAACCTTTTGCTAACAATTAAGTTATTTAGGTAAGATAGTTGTATCTGAGTTAGAAAGGTGATGCTTAACCACAATCTGTGCATGTGGACAACATCTGGACACAGGACACACCTTCAGCTGCAAAGAAAAGGTGAGAAGCAGGGACTGCTCTGCAAAGTGGATTTTCAGTTGTGGAGGTAGTGGAAGGTGTCTCAAAATTCACCCTTTTCCTTTATAGCACAAGGTGCTTTGACAATCTGTTATACAGCCCTCAATGCAAAGCAGTGGCCTGAAGAAAGATTAGGGCCAGTTATGTTCTCCAGAACTCTCAGTTCTCAAGTTTTTCCACTGTTTCTGCTTCCAGTTTTGGAGCAGCAACTGTGCTCTAAAAGGCAAGTTATATTCAGAATTAAAAAACAGACTCAGCAATGTTTCCTTCTCAGTCTGTTTTAAATGTAGTTAATTTATAACTTGTGAACTTATTTATTCCAGCCATTGTTTTGATTTTGCTAACTTATGGGTTAGCCTAGGCACAGAAGGCTGGGAGGCAAACACTTCATGGTTGGTCAGGTTGAAGGTTTTTTTGTTTTCATCTTTTGCAGGGTTTGTTGATGACATCATCCAGCCTTCGACCACCCGCACTCGCATCTGCCATGACCTCGATGTCCTGGCCAGTAAATCCCAGTCCAGTCCTTGGAAGAAACACGCCAACATCCCACTGTGAGGGTGAGCAGGGGCTGCCGGTGCTGGGAGACATTCTGAATATGAGTTCTGGTTAACTCTCTGGTTAATGGAGGGCTGCTTGGCAATAGAAATAGTTCTTTTAATTTTGATTTTTGCCAATAATCATCAATAAATCATAGCATATATTTAATCTGGGGGTCTGACCAGTTTGCCTTTCTAAACCCTTTCTTGGTGGTTAATACTCAACACACCCTGCCCTGCCTGCTGCAGGTGAGCTGTTACTAATTGCTCAAGGTCAAACATTCCCTCATTCTGTAGGCCCTGGAGGTGGCTCAGTCCTGCCTGAACCACCTCCCACCCCAAGGGAAGTTGGACCCCTGTGGAGTTCAAGGGTATTCCACTGCCACAGACTTTGGAGTTTGGCTCCACGACTGACTGAGAGAGGAAAATCCTGAGCTTGGGTTCCCGTGCCCTGGGGACCAGGCCCTGCTGATCCCAGATTCAGTTGTTCTGTTCCTCTGTTAGTCTGGCCTGTGGCAGCTTTTCCCTGCTGCCTGCAGCAGCTGGGTCTGAGCCCCAGGACAGAGGTGGGTGGCACAGGGGAGGCACAGCCAGTCCACTCTTAAGAACAGCAGACAAAAAAGGGCGGGTTTGGTGGGACATGCATACCCTCCCTCTCAGCAGAGGCTGGAACAGAGACCTCCAGAGGCCCTTCCAGCCTCCATTCTCTGGGATCATTTGCCAGCCTGGCCAGGAACCACTGCAGGAGGTGTTACTCTGATCTGCTCTGGGCCTGTGCTCACCTGCTCTGTAGAAGCTGCAGCTTCCCTCCAGCCCCAGGGCAGTGAGGAACAGCCACTGTCACATTCAGTGCTGCTGCTGTGGGCACCTGGCTGCCCTGAGTAACTGGATTTGTTGTGTGACAGAGCCTTCCTACCTGCACTGCAGCTGCTGCTGCTCACACCCAGCACGAGCCTGAAGGAGCAGAGCTAGGACAGCCGTGGCCCAGGCAGCTTCTCTTCCCAGCAAGGTGCAGTGAGTGGAGCTGTGGAGCTTGAGCCTCTACCTGGGGAGGAAAGCAACAGCTGAACATCATCTAAAAGCACCATATAAAAGGAGCAGTACAAGTTCCAGCTCCCCGGGAGTTTGGCTGCATGGGAGGGAGGCAGCAGCTTCAGGCTGCAGACACACTGGCTGTCCTGTGTGGCTTCTGTGTGAAAAGGCTCCTGGTGCTGTCCCAGGGAACAGAGCTGGCTGCAACAGGGGAAGGTAAATTCAGATGTTACTGTGGGGGGTGTCATGGCCATGGTGGGAGTTCCTCGTTAACTGTGAGAAAACTGTAAGGGTTTATAATGCCCAAGAAGATTTGTCAAAGGTAAAGCTGGTTTAGAGGCAGAAGCTGTGAGATGAAGGGATACATACACAGCTTCTTCAGCTTGCCCAGAATCAGGAAACAATCCATGAGGAACTCACTTGTCATAGAGAGGAAAGTAAAGCTTTGTTAGTTGTTTCCTAACCTCAGTATTGCTACAGACTCCAACCTCTTGCCAGGACAAGAATTGGGCTTTTAGATCCTCTCCATTTCCAAACAGGCAGTTGCTCTACCAGGACATGCTGGAAACAGGCTTGAAAGCTGCTCTGATGAGGCTTCTGAGAATTTCCTTGAAGTCCAGTCACCTAAAAAAACAAGAGGTACAAAATAAAATCCCTTAAATAATGTGTAGCCCTTGAACTTAGCAGCAAGGCAAGTTACTTACTGTGTTCCTCAGTGCAGGAGTTGCCATAACTTACAAGCATGTGGAGACTGAGCTTTCAGACTCTTGTCTTGGGAGTAGTTGAGACTTGGCATCATCCCTGTGCCTCAGCAGCTGCATCTTGTTCCTTTTCATGACTCCAGTGATTTTTCCTTAGGAAGTGGGCCAGGTGATAAAGCAGTCAGTTTTCTTTAGCACTAGAGAGATGAAATCTTTCATGGGTTGGACAAAAATAGCACCTTGCTCCCTGAGACATGGGAGTAACATGGACATTTTGTTTCAGGAATCTGTGAAACTCCCTTTAGCCCAGCTGGTTGTTAGAACTTTGAAGCCTTTGCCATGGCAGTTTCTTCCCACAGACTCCAGGTCACTTCAGATGTTTAGGGCAGAAGAGAAAAAGTCTTCTCAAACCTTGTGGCATTTCAAGAAATTGTAAGTTTTAGCAGTGCAGCTCTTGCATCTGGGGTGGGGCCTTCCCAGGTTTGCAGCAATCCCACATTCACCACCCCTCTACCCTCCCAACCAAACCACATGATGGTGGAGGGGAGAAGGAAGCCCAGAGAGGGTTTCCATCACTCTGGAGGCTGAGTGGGTGAGGGAGTGGGGTACAGGTCTGGTTGTGAAGCCTGGACTACATGAAAGCTACCTGTCAGTTTTGCCTTTAATAACTCCTTGAATTCCTACTACTACATGGGATGACAAAATGTGATGGTCCAAACAAGCACTTAAAAAAAACTATAGTGAAGAGGGTGCTCATCATACTCATGATTTTGAATAGTTTATTAAATGAAAGGTGAAGCATCAGTTTTAAATTGTACAAAAGGAAAAAAAACCTCATATTGTAAATGTACAATTTACAGAATTACTAGCAAAACCAATCAAGGAGACACTCATAATACAAAAACCTATTGACTGCAAACTGAACTGGAGACCCATTGCAGGTACCATGATAATAAATGTTTGTTATACAGTATTCTACAATGTTAAATTAGGAATCAGTTTTCCACACAGAGGACTGTGAAGCACAAGGTTTGTCTGAGACTCTGACTCAAACTGGGCAGCATCTGTTGTGCCACCATGCTCACAGAGTGACCCTGGGACAGGTCCTGCAGCCATTCCTGCCCCCAGGCCGTGGGGGTGCACAGAGGGAGGTAACAGGGTTTATAAAGTTCCAGCTACTTCTTGGATTAATAGATCCCCAACCCACACTAAGGAATGGCTGAATTACCTGGTCAAACATTTTTGGCAACCGTGTCTGAGAACTGCAGGTGTTGTGAGAGCCAAGCTCAGCTGGGTGAGGTGCTGGGCTGGGTCAGTCTGGGCTCTTTCCCTGCCCGTGCTGGGCACTGAGGGGTTGGGCTGGTGTCCAGAAAGCTTGAAACAGAAAAAGCTCCGGGATTATTCTGCAGTTGCTAAAACCAAAGCACCTCTGAAACTGCTGTGCTCCAAGTGGGTCAGTCTGCTTTGTATCCCAGCTGCTACTGAGTGCAGAAAGATGAAGCTTTTGGGGCCAATTGTTGGAGATCTGGAGCTGTGGAGGGCCAGCACTGCTGGTGCCAGGCCAGGCTGGGTAAGGAGCAGCTACTACATCGAGTCATAAAATTGAAGCATAATGAAATTCCAAATTATTGAAGACATTGAAAAATATCTTAGTACAATGAATTAGCTGAGAATGCTTTGGGGTTTTTTTGGAATTTTTTTTGATGTTTTTAGCTTTTTTGAAAAATCATATTTTTTTCCAAAGAATTACTCTCAATATGCACAGTTAACACTGAAAATGTAGCTGTAGTCCATTGTAAGCTTAAGAACTTCACCATCTAAGCACAAATTTCTATGCAGCACATACAGTACTTCTAACTGGCAAAATTAATTTACAAAAATAGCGGAAAAGGGTATTTACGGCATGGAAAGTAGACTCTGTTTTATGGTACAGTTAAAATTACTTTTAGTATGCTAAAGTGATCCTTTCCCCCACCCTTGAACTATTTTTTTTTTAATAGGAAAGTTGCTGTTTATGTACCTTGTGTTGGCAGGCTTGAAGTAGGTAGTAAAAACAGCAAAGTGATTACTTGAGAACCATTTGTGTGTTTTACTGAGAATACTTTATTTGCTGGTATAAGTTGCTAAAAATGCACAGAGCAAGTACCAATAGAAAATTTACTGGTTTTGTGTCCCCATGTGCTATATAAAATGAATGTTACACAGCATCTGTTGGAAAAGTGGCTTCATGGACATCTCTTACTTTATGTCCCATTATAAATAAAAATAAATCTTCTCAAGAGTATAAAATCTGGGTTTATCATATCAGAATCTGAAATTTTTTGGCAGAGATGCACGTCATTAGAATTCTAACCTCTTCTCTGAGAGTGTTCTTCTCCATGCCTATGAGAGGACATAAGCGTACCATAATGTTAATCAAATCCAGTGTGTTCCAAAACACTTTTCTGTAGCCAGAACGACCTGCTTACAGCAGCCTTGCTAGTCAGTGGCTGATAGGCATAGGTTTAATAAAAATGGCTAGCTTTGAAAACATAAAAAGGCAAATGTTAAAACCGTTTTAAATTGTACAGCAGAAAAATAAAGTTAAAAAAGTTCTGTTTTCACTCAATGTTGTTTTCAGAAAACATATGTAGAACAGTGTTTATTTTGACAGCTGTCTTAACAATTTAAAACTTCCTCCTCATCCAGAAAAAAAAAAAATCCGTATTAGGACAGTCAAGAACAGGGATACAAATGATTTTTTAGGTCAGCCCTTCTGAGGTGACTGGATTGGCCAACATTCCCGTGTGTCATTAAGAAGCTCCTCTTCTCTCCGTCACTACACCAAGGGGTTGACCTCAATCATTTGGTTAAAAATCAAACCGTATCACATCAAAAATGTGGTTTTCATACAAGCTATCACAGTATATAGGCCTCTAGCTCTAAACAATAGAGTTCCAAGTTTGTAAAAGGTCTTCGCCAGACTTCAGAACATGGGCATGCCAAATCCCTGCAAAGGGGGAAAACACAGCGGTTACTGGGGTGGGACACTCAAAGCAGAGCTCAAAGCAAGCAAAGGAACCAGCCCTTACTGAGTCGTCCTCGATGATCGCCGCCGAGTCGAAGAAGTCCGGCCGCAGCTCCGCGCGCTCGCGCCGGTTCCGCGACGGCGGCTGCAACACACAGGGGTTGGAACAGCACGGGACACACAGAGCCCTGCCTGCCACAGGGCCCTGTCCCTGCCCCACCTTCCCCTGTGCCACGAAACCTCTGGGGCAAACACAGGACAGCGCTCCCTCCACTCTTTGTTATTGAAAGAACGGTAAAAGCTGATGGACTCTATGTGCTCATGGTTAAGGGCTTGCCCAAGGTTCCTGCTGCCTTAAGGATGTCTCTGTATTGGGACTCTAGGCCAGACTGCACAGAAACTCCCTCTTAACTCTCTATGCTTCAAGTTCATAGTGAAACGAGCTCTGACATGGTCAAAAATGGATTAACCAGCAGAAAGGGTACAGAAGATACTGAACTATTTCTGAGGCTTAAACCCTTTGTGGTGTCCTTCCCCACAAGCACAGGAGTAAGTGTGAGCCTCACTGGTTTCATCAACTCCTTCCTTGCCTGGGATGTTACTTGGTAATTAAATGAGTGCTGGCAATAACCTCACTATGCAGCAGCCTTTCCCAAGACACTGTAGCCCAGTCCTAATATAACCTAGGGCTTGTTGTTTGGATGTGAAAGGAGAAACAGCCATTAAAATGGTGAAGGGTGTAAAGCAAACTGCTCCTTTATCCCATTTTACAATGGAGGAGTCATTCCAGAGGGGATGCCATTTAAGGCTGTAAGTGCTGCAAGGAACCTCTCCAAGCAGTCAGAACAGAACTGGAAGGGACCGAGGCTGCCAATGATGATGGGACCTGTTTGGGAACAATTCCTGTTTAAGGAGCTCCCATCCACACAGCAGTGCCTGTGCTCCCTCTGGCTGTGACCTACTGAGACCTCGAGTAAGGATCCTCTGCCCAGCCCACCTCCTCAAAACCAAACTGACCAGGAAAGGGAAAGAGAGAGACCCCTTGGCTGTGCCAGTCTGACACATCATGGATGCAATAAAGAGCTTTGTCAGCACAGCCTGTAACTCAACCTGATCCTTGTGGGCTGACAAGTCTGAGGTGTGTGATGCTGCTGCTGCTGGCAGAAGCTGCCCAAGAACAGTCTTGGGAAGAAGGAGCACTAAGCAATGCTCCTTGTGTGGCTCTGGAACAAACCCACTGGGCTCAAGCCTGCAGCAGGAGGCTCTGGGAAGTGCTCACATCATTCCCACTCTAATGTTCGGACAACTGGAGGCCAGACTCAAAATTTTGGAAATTTTTGTTTACACTTCTAAAATTCCTTTTAAATTAGCTTTCAACTGTTTTAAACTTGCCATTGAAAAGATTTACTGACCAGATCAATGACCATTGTGTCCTCGAATTCTTCATTCATGTCTTCTAGCTGGCCTCGTGAGGACATCATTACATCTTCAAAGATGGGCTCAGCGTCATCTTCCATTAGACCTCGTCTGATTAAAGAGAGAGTCAGTCATTTCTGGGCTAAAAAACTTCCTAGGCCTGATCTTTGTCATTAAAAGAATTCTCAAATCTATCATTTAATGCTGATGCTGAGGGTAAAGCCAGCAGGCTCTCTGGAATAGCAAACAGAGGAAAATCACACATGAACTCCCCTCCCCAAACCCTGGCCCAGGCTGAAGCAGCGAGTCCCACTGACAGCACTATGATCAGCAACTGCAGTTGTTACTGGGCAGTAACTGCTCTTGTGTTTGCCTGCCCTTTTACCAAGGAGGAGTGACACTGTTTGCCAGGGTCACTGGTAAAGCCCTGGGACCCCAGCAGGGCCTTCAAGCCCAGTTCCAAAGGCTGTGAGGATTCCAGCCCCCGTGCTGAAGGACTCGGTGGGACCAGCACAGAGCATGTGATGCCCCAATGTTCACCCACGTGTGTTCCCTCCATTACTGCACAGGGGGACACCTTGGCAAAAAAGGATGGAGAGCACAGCCACAGGAACTGGCTGATGGGCAGAGCTCCCAGGGAATTCCACAGCACACAAACCATGGAACCCTCTGAGGAACGGGGAACTGCACCCGCACTGGGCCTGGTGTCTGGCCACAGTCAGAGAACGGCAGTGCTGGGCTGGATCCATCCCAGCACTACAAACTGTCCCTCTGCTTCCCACAAGGGTGAAATGGCACAGAAACCACTGGCAAGGAGCAGGAAAGGGAACATTTCACTGTGGAGTCCTGCACGTGGTGCTGCTGAGGGCAGCAGCCTGTGAGCACTTACACTGCGTGCCTTACGCCACTTCTGCCTTTCATGTAGTTCATTCCTGTCCTGTCCTTTCGATTGAGATCCTCCAGCTTCTGCTGGCCCAGCCACGAGATCTGCATCTGGGGACTGACACACAGGGAGTAAGTTAGGACCCACAGCAGTCACAGTTCTGAGCTGCCTGTTCTGGGGCAGTTTCTGTCTCCAAGTTCTGTGTCTGGCCATGCTTCAGATTAGGATAATTAAATCCCATCCATCATTGTACACATCTTCTGGATTCCCTTCCACAGTCTGTCTCCTCTCACTGTATGTGCACAAAAAATCAATTAACTTGCAATAAAAGCAGGTATGGAAACACTGACATTGCTCCTCCATTAGGGGCAGGCACCGGGAGCAGGAGCACCTCTAAAGTTTGTTATTAAATAGTACTTTAGTGTGTCAGATGAGGCAAAATATGAGCAAGAATGGATCCAAATTAGTAAGTGACAAAAATGTCACACAATGTGAAAAACAAATGGCTTTTACAACTTAAGGGCCAGTACCTCACCCATGTGTAAATACCTTCCAGGCTGCCCTGCTGATGCCACCAGCAGCCTGTGACCCACAGCCAGCCTGTGCTCACCTGCTGCCAACACCCACTGACAGAAAATAACCAGTGTTTTCCCTCTAAATGGAGGTGATAAAATGGGAGCAAAGGGACAAAAAGAATATATCATTTAGGGCAATTACCTCAAATCAGGAATTACTAGCTCAGCAGCTGGAAATTTAGAAAATATCAGTCAGGGTGTCTGGAGAACCTTAACTCTGATATCAGGCAGGGGGAAAGAAAAGAGAGTATCTACAGGTCTTCCAAAGAAACAATTCCACCCACCCTGGAACAGAAGCACTAGGATGATTTGACCACAACTGTATGGCTATATGGATAGTTTTAACATAAGGAATTTCTACTATTATTCCATTACAACATATTTTTCTGGGACCTGAAGACAATCCAAGTATTGCTGAGCTGTGGCCAAGGCATTTCCAGGTGGCTTTGCAAATCAGCACTGCATCTCAGGAGCCACAGGCTGACAATATCCCTATAAACCACAAGCAATTCCTTTGCCTGCCTGACTGTACCTGATGCTGAAATTCCAAGACTTACTTGTGTAAAAAATCCTGTTCAGATCCCTGCTCCGACTCGTGCTCCTGGATCTGCTCTCCCATTTGTCTGGTGTTCTCTCTCAGGACAGTGGAGGTGAGCTGAGGTGTCTGCAGTGTCCCTGGAGTATGGATGTTCTCATTCCTGTTCAGCCAGGAGCCTTCCAGGCTCTCATCTGGAGAGAGAACACTGAAATCACTGCTCAGTTCCGACCGCATGCAGAGCAGCATTCAAACAAGTGTGCACTGAGGGATCACCTGGATAAATGCTTGGAAATGTAAGATTTTCAGTTCTAATTTTAGATTCTGTTATTTTAAGTATTACTAGCCTCTATTCCCAGCAATAACAACAATCTAAAGGGAACAAACACAAACCCCATTGCAAACAAAGTCATACTGCAGCACGGCCTCAGTGCTGGCTATCCTGAACATAAACAAGGTAATTCCCGATTCCTGAGCTTACAGTTGGAGACTGTTAATCTCATGCACCTACAGCAACCAAGATACAGTTAAAAGCTAAGACAAGGTGGAGCACAAACCCCCAAATCTGGTCACTCCAGATCTTTAGAACTGTCAGAACCACTGGAGTGGTGCAGGGAGGGGACACTTAGCAATAAAAATGAGATAAAGATGACTGATGGTCTAGCTGGGATCCTGTGCTTATGTTGGGAAGGAAGCAAAGCAGAGAGGAGGGAAGAGGGAGGACTTGAGAATGGGTTAGAGCAGGAAGTGTGCAGCCAGAGAAACACACAAAAAATTCAGTTGCTGGAGTGAAAGACAGGAGATGACAACAGAGATTACAAGATCACAGATTTACTAACAGGAAATGCGTGGTGAGAAAAGTAGATGGGGATCTCCACGGATCTGTTCACCCTTCCATTGCCTTTTACTACCTTTTAGGCATAAATGTCTAAAAAGCTGCCTATTTATTCTCAATTTTACATTTCAATCATTTTTATGTTAGGAATTTTATTTAAAAAACATGTTGATTTCCTTTAGGCATCTTGAAGAAATGGCACAGAGCACATTTCCTCTCAGAAGCAACAGGGAATGTTCTCCAAGCCAGTCTGTGCTGGATTTAGGTGAGAAAGGAACCAGAGGGGACTGGATATGGTTCTTTGATGCCCCAGCAATTTCTGCAGTGACCTGTCTGCTGTTAGATCCTTTAGGGTGGAAATTAACTACATCTTAAATCCTGAGATTTGCCTTACTGAGAGACAAAGATGCTACTACACCCCCCAGGGTAAAAAAATAAGATATTGGTAAAATACAGTAGAATAGAATGAAAATGGCAACAAGAGGAAAGAAGAAAACCTCAGTAGGTGAATTCTGTGAAAATCCTGGCATCCTGAAAGAAGGAAAACAGTGCCTGAAGAAAGGAGCCAGTATTTTATGTACCTACATTTGAGGCTGGCTGTGAGAAGGACCTGGTGCAGAGACTGCTCACTATGAGCTGCAGTGGAGAATGGACCTGGCTGCATGGGCAAACTTTTGAGGAATATTATGGGAAATTGCTGTATATTCAGGCAAATGGGCACTATATTCCTTACTGAGGGATTCCTGCCATTTTCCTGAACTTGGAAAAACCCCTGAAGTTTAAGATCCCACTCACATCTACTGTATATTAGAACAGCAAATTAGCATTCACAGAAGTCCACGCTACAGCACACAGATTGACCAGGAACAGATGCAGCCTTGTAAGAAATTTGCTATCACAGCCAGATTCCTGATGAACACATCTGAGGTCCCAGAAAGAGTAAATGCAGACAAGACTAGATTATCAGTACTATTTTTAACAAATATGGTGTCTTTTTACTGTTCCCAATGGCCCTGCAACAACAGAGATCTGTTATCAGAATTTCTGCCTGGAATCTGTTCCAAATCCCTGAGAATTAACAACTCCCCAGAGGGAACCATAGGCAGAAATCCAGCATTCCAGGAGCGAGAAAGAGCAGGTAACTCCACAGACACCAGCAGTAACACCTTTCAACAGTTCCGATTGCCAATTTTGGTCAAGACAAACAAGAACAGGGAGCTGTGGTGGTATTTCCATTAAAGACACATCCAGCAGAACAGATGCCTTGGTTGTGCCTCATCCAGAATATCACGTGTTTCTGCATGAACTGGTAAAGTCCCCTCTCCTGAGTGTCCAGCCTGCCAGTGCCCTGTGCCCTCACAAACCTTCCACTCTCTTTTTGTGGAGGGGGGGTCGGCCCTTCTTGTTCCTCACGGAGGAGGCCTTGCTGCTGCTGCTGCCGCTGTTCACGGACATCCTGTCGTCCTCGCCGCCCGTCACCAGCGAGTTCCGGTACGAGATCAGCGGCAGCCACACGTCCTCTCTTCTCTCCATCATCTGCTCTGTCAGGAACTTCTCCAGGTAGGTGTGCCTGGAAAGGAAACACAAGGGGTACAGAGTGCAGCAGTCTCCCCACAGACACCCAGATATGGCTGCTGTGTCAGTGGCCAGGCTGCATCACAGCCACTGCTGCAAGGATGCAGGATGTCCCTTGGCATCCTGGAACAAGAGAAATGGATTAGTCAAATGCAGGCATTTATTTTTTTCATAAGAAATTTGAACACCTGCTCCACTGCCATGAAAAGTCCAGTGCACACATGTTCACTGAAAGGAGGAACCAACAACTCCCTCCTGTCTGGAGGGCATAGAAACTGTTTTCTTTTTCCATTGATTATTTAATTATGGAATCAGATGTAATCTCTAAAATGAACATGCAAATCTATAAATGTGATTCTGATGAGTTTGGCTGCAGAGCCAAACGTTCAGAAGTTTGGTAAGAGAACTCAGGTACTTCAGCATCACTTCCTGCACCCCTCAGTCACAATTTCCTTTAACACCACCTTGCCAGGTTGCCAGCAGTGGGAGTCAACTCCACACATTCCACATGGAAAGGCAGGATTTCCTCTGTAGCTCATGGCAGCTCAGAGCTGTTACACAGCCCAGCCCCAGAACATGCCCAGGAGCCACACTGCTCATGGGAGGGTAACATCACATCAGTTTTTTGATTCAGTGAATGGCATAATTTTGTTCAAGAAACAGCAGGTTCCTGTCTACTCTTTTATTGAATATTGTCAATGCTTCCCCTTCCCTTTTCCATGTGTATATTAATTCCCAAACCTGGCAGCAATGGGAAAAGTCTTAGTGTGTTCTCTATTTTATGGTACCCAACTGTGCCACTTGAGCTCTTCATGGCTTCAGAGAATCTACCTGCAGAAGAGTCTTGGAAAGGAAGAAGTTTTTCTGCCTCCAGCTTGTATTTATAGAACCAGATTGCAGGTTTATGGCCAAATTGTGAAGGTGGAAAACGACACCACTTGGGAGCTCTTTACTGCCTGGATGCCAAACTTGAGACATCTGCCCAGCATTTGGGGGAGCTTCACACGGGCACTTCCTATCAACTCTGAGCTCAGGGGACTTCAGCCATGCTGAGTCCCTGACACCCACCTGACACCCACCCAAAAGTCAGGGTTCCATCTAAGCCAACTGTGTCTATGAGAGAAATAAGTGGAAATAAGTGCCAGTAAGGACAATCTCCTCTATTCTGTCCTGCATTAGTTCCTCAGGATTTCCCTGCCTGTATCTGCCTTAATGGGTTTGTAACAGAGTGTTAGTACAAACTCTTTTCCTGCAGCTGTATGAGTCTGGCACCTTACATGAACAGTTTTATGTGAAATCCATAGATTTGAATAAATTCATCAATGGTTATCACCACTTCTGAAGGTTACTCATAAAACGATTAGCCAGATTAACAGGCTAGAAAAACAAAATTAAATCAGTGTGGCTGCATCACTCCCAAACTGGAAGCTTCTCCCTTTTCTAGCCCAGAGGAAAGAGGCAGCAGCCCAGCAGAAGGAAGCAGGAGCCCTGTGGAACAGCAGTGTGTGCTGGAGCCTGTCAGGAAGGGTGTCCTGGAACAGTGCCCTGACACCTGCAGGCCCTCAGGTGGTGATTTGGGGGTTGAGGCAGGGAAGCCAAGCTGGAGAAGCTGGGCAGGCAGGCAGCCACGTGTTCCTGAGCCTCTGAGGGCTCCAGAGCACTTCTGGCTGCAGCCAAGAGTCCTTTGCTGAGTCTGGGGAGGGCCTCTGGGCCGGGAGGGAGGGAAGGGATGCTGAACATGAGACTTCTCCAGCAGATGGTGGTCATGGACCTTCCTGCACACAGGCAGCCCCTGTGGTGGGGGAGAGGTCCCTGTGGATTGGAGGAGCTGCAGAAAAGGGCAAATCCAGCATCCCCCTTCTGTCCTGTCAGTAGAGCACTCTGGGCAGGAGTGGAGCCACCTCCACAGAATCCTCACATGTCAGCAAATTGCGCTGACCCTTCTCATGGTCACCACAGCCTGTGGGGTCTGGGGCAGGGCTGAACTCATCCCAGCACAGCAGGCTAGCACAGATCAGGCCCTAAAGGACCTGTTTATTTTCATGATCATCAGATTCAGCTGAGATCAATAGCCCAGGTATAGATATTCCACCACAGCAATCCTTATACTCCTTCAGGAACAGCCACTGGTTGTGTTTGTGGGCAGGGGAACCTTTGAGAAAGAATTTAAATGGCAGCATGGAAGGTGAAGGAACAGAATGTCCCAAAGAACTGAATTTCACTCAAAGGCTCAGGTTAACAGAAGCTGTCAGGGGCAGCATGATGTAACTTTAAATGTCAGACACTGGAAACTTGCGGAAGGGCTGACCCTGCTGAAAGGCTCAACTTCACTAAATTCAACAGGAAACAGGCAGAGGCACTTGAACCACCCTGCAGAGAACCTACAGCTCAGCTAAGAAGACAAGCCATAAAATCCTTTTATCCTTAAGTCCTGTCCTGAGGAAGAGGATAGAGGCTGACAAGATTCCAGGATATAACAATGGAGAGCAGATGCACAAATGGAGTGCCCAGCCAGCCTAACTGGATCATCCCATTCCCTGGCTCCTTTAACTATTTGCCCTACAGTGTTCACTGACTTGAGAAATTATTGATACAATGAAAAAGTGAAATTGGTTCAAGTGTGTACACATTAAAAATTATACAAAGTTAACCAAGCTGCATTTCTTACTGCAAAGCTGTAATGTTCATAGTTGTTAACCCTAATAGAAAAGTCCTTTAAAAGAAATGTCTTCACAGAAAAACATCTGTCAAACCTTCCCAGCAAGATCTGACAGAAAGAATCAGTTGAGGCCATTCCAGCTGATCTTTCTGACTAACATTCAGTGGGGTCACTGAACTGACTGGAAAGGCACCTATAACCATAAATCAGCAGATCTGGCACCTGCACTTCTAAACTGGTCACAAAGTTATTCAGTGAATTTAGGTCCACACTGGGCACATAGTGCTTGGCTGATGTTTCACTGGGGTCCTCTTCCAAGATATTAAAAGAAACAACAAATATAGGTTTACAATTTCTGTAAATAAAGACAGAAATGTGTTTCTGCAGTGGTGACAACCTGTAAATTCCCTGCACTGCTGATGTGTAAATTTCTTTTCTTCCAGCAAAAAAAAAGGACTTTTTATTTTCAATATCCCATGAGAAATTTTAAATAACATTGTTTTGGGAGGTCTCAAACTCACCTCATTAGCGAGTCTGACTTTTCTTTTCCCATTTAGTTTTATTACTTTAAAACACAAAAAGATGAGTAAGTATGTATGTGAAATGTCTCAGGGACTTTCAGTAGCCCCTGTTAGATTGTAGAGACCTCAAAGGAAAGAGCTGGAACCCACAGTGCAGGGATTAACAGAGGCCAGGGAAGAAAACAGAGCATTACTTACACAGTCTTTTTGTCCTGTCGCAGGAGTTTGGAAGAAAATTCACTGAGCACTTCCAGGAAAGCAAGGTTAGGAGGTGGATAGTCTTGTCCTTTCTGATTCTGGTATTTGAAGGCAAACTCTATGCCATCTCTACAGTACAGAAATATGAACATGTTCAGACATTTGCAACAACAACAAAACCAAAACAAAACAAAAAAAAAACACCAAAAAAGCAAACAAAAAGCCCAACCCAACACCCAAACAAGTTGCCCCATATCTGAGTGGGATGAAACCATTTGAATCCTCAGGTCCCATCACAATGTAATTCCCCATTAGCAGCAAACAGCAGCTTTTGGACAAAGGGGAATGCAGAGTTCCCTGTGGATTTGTGAGACCCCTCAGATAAGCACACGGCCAGTCCCTGTAAGAGGGAGCTGGGCAGAGCAGCCCAGGGCAGGAGCTCCAGGGAATGTGTCAGCTCAAACAGGAGCCAAGCTCTGCAGCCAGAGCAGAGAACTGAGTCCCCAGAGCAGGGACACGCTGGGTTCTGCTCTGTCACCTTGACTGAAGAGAGCACTGTCCTTCCCTCACCCAGCAAGGCACAAGTGTCCCCTGACTCCTGCCTGGCTCAGGACAATGCCTGGTGCGTCCTGACCGGGCCTGACTGTGCTGATCTCGGTGTCAAGGACTGAGTCTCTGAGACACCAAACCTTAGCATTTGAACTTTTTTATGGCATGGCAAAGTCATAATTTAAATTTAGCTGAACCTTTCCATGCTTTTCTATGCAGCAGTTGCATAAACATTTTCAGTACTTTAAAAGATTTTTAGAGTATCTTTAGATAACAGCCCTTGGTTCCTCCAGAATCCAGAGTAGTGTGGAACAAAGAACCATACACACTTGTTACACACAACCCACCTGAGATAACCATGCCAATAAATTCCAGTCAATAATTAGGTAGCAGCTAGTTTGTTTCCTTTCTGCCTACATACATATAGACCCCTCTAATTAAAGTAGAAAAAAATACAGAATTATTCCATATAATTGTCTGTTGAGATTATGTATCCTGAGAAAGGGAATGCTGAACAGAAGTAGTGTAAAAATCCAGTTTATTTACCACCACTCACTTGTGTAGTGTGGCCACAGCCTCTCTTGTCTTGATCTGATCCAAGCCAAAAGTGAGGGCAAACCGCCGGGCCAGCTCCTTAATGCCACTGACGTGGGCAGAGGTCCTGTCCAGGTTGGGACCTTGCTCCTGAACAAGCTCATTGAACAGCTGCAGAGAGAGTTCAGAGGTTGATATCTGTGAGCTGGGAAACACTTTTATTGAGAAAGGCTTGGGTTCTAAACCTGTTCCATCTGAGAATGGCCTTTGTGACGACTGAGACATAATGGTGTCCCTGTCACCTGCCAGAATTTCTTCTGTCCCTCTGCTGTTTGCCAGCTGTCCCCATCTTGTACCTGTGTGGAGTTATTTTGGTGCAATTCTGCACCCACCCTCCCTAAATTCCATCTATCATTCTCCCAACTCATCAAGAAGCTCCTGCATTCTCGTGCTGTTCTCTTAGCACCCCCATCACCCATCAGACTGGTGATGCTCTGAATTTGGGGATCCAAACTGCAGCTCCTCCACTGTACCCTCTGTGCCTGTTTGCCCAGCACTGCTGCCTCCAAGGCTCTCCCAGCACTGTACTGGAGTGCTTGGTGCTTTTCCAGCCAGTTCTACCTCTCCTGGCACTGCCATTTACACCCCATCTCTCACTGGTTGCTGAGAGCATCTGGCAGACAGTGCCAGTGAGGACATTAAATCAGTGCCAGTGAGGACATTAAATCAGTGCCAGTGAGGATATTAAATCAGGCTCCATTACAGCCACTGTTTCTCTCATCTCCACAAGCTCTGTTACCATGTAATTAATGACAGCAGCTTAATTGGATAGGATTCCTCCTTGACAAATCCACACTGGCTGCTACCTGTCACTGAGGCACTTGCAGAGCTCCTCTCATTACTTTTTTCATGGAATTTTGTCAGCCTGACTGATCTGTGGCAGCTGCTTCCTCCTCTCCAAGTTTTACAGACATGGGCTGCTTTGACACTCTCTGACTCTTCTGGAAGTACATCTGTTTTTCTCAGGTTTGCACAGATCTCTCTCAGCTTCCAGATTGCTACAGCAAATCCCTTAGGAAGGGATTTGGGGAGGTCCAGCTCATTTGAAAGCATCTAATTAGCAGAAGTAATTTCTCTGTGCAATGGCTATAGCTGGTACTTCAAGGGCCTAAGTGGTATTTAGTGCACTTTGTGTTGTTGCTTGATAGATTTCATCACCAGGCAGTAATTTATGGGTGATGTAAAGAGAATTTTTCTGGGAAAAAACATGTCTAACAGTATTGGAAGACTTAATTAGCTCGAAATTTGAAAAATTCATCAGTATTTAGACAAAGTATAAGGAAGATGCATTACTTCAGCAAATGTTAAGAAGAAAAAGCCATCCTAATTCTTCTTGTTGACTCAGGATCAATAAACAAATGCCAAGAATCAGTCTGGACCAAACTGCCTCCAAGGCTCTTCTCTCCCTCCCTTCCATTTTTACCTGCCCAAGCTTTGCCAGTGTGGGCCTATGGAGACAGAGATTACTGAGACACAAGGGGCAGTGACAGCCTGAACTGGGAGCAGGAAAATGAAGAGAATGTCCTAAGGAAATGCAGCATTTCTGCTTCCCTGTAAAGTGCATCAGAGGAAATCCTGGCCAGGGCTTTTTGCAGTGAGGCATTTCTAACAAAAAAATCAATGCTCTTACCTGTTGCAAACTGAGAATGAGTGTCTTTGCACACTGGATTTTATCTATTTGCCTGGTTTTGCTCAGGGTTTCCTTAATGATATCTCCGTAGTCATTGTAGTACTAAAAACAAATGTGAAAAAAAATCAAAAACTTTTAATCAAAATCTCTTATACAATTTCTTCCAGTTTTTCCAAGAGAAAGATTACTTCTAATTCTTGATTTGAAAAGGCAGCAGTTGCTCAAATCCACATTTTTGATGTGAGTGGGGGGCAACATTTCAGTATCAAAATTTAAACCAAACCCTGTGATAAGGTAGGGAACTTCTGTATTTATTTTCTTTTGTAACAAACATGTTGAAAACCCAGCAAAAGAGCATTTCCTGCCCCAAAGTAAGCACTTGAAGGTGACCCATGGCTGCCAATTCCAAGCAACAACATGACATTGATCCAACCCCCCCTTAAGAAGCAGGTGTGAACAGACACCAGCACAGAGGTTTGTGCTCCTTGTACACTGAGGGGAAAGGAATTCACTACAGCCAAAAAGTGGAGTAAGGAATGGGACAAGAGGATGCAGGGCCTGTACCTTCATATAGTGTTTGAAGATATCTGCTGCTGCATGCATGTCCACAATGTCATAAATTATCAGCTTGCTAAAGGCAGCCAGAAGGTTTCTTCTCTTATGTAAAGCTTCTATTTTGTTGGCTTCATCTTCTTCATCTCCCTCTGAAAGCATCATCAGAATCTTTGTAAGTAACTGTTACGTTCTAAAACAATATTATCAAAGGGGAGCTTTTAGCAAAAAATCAATTCTTGAACATGAAGCAAGAAGGGTTGTTGGAGAAGAAGCTAAAATGAAAGGTGGTAAGTCTTGAGTCCTGCCTTCTTGGAAACTTCCAGGGAAGTTCAGGAACATGACACACCACTGACCAAAGCTGCTCTCCATAATCCTGAGGAGATCCTGGATATAATCCACATGGAACTGAGTCATTTATTTCCCATACCCTGTGAAAAGCCACAGTGAACTCTTGCTGAATGCTCTTGCTTAACCTCTCAAACACAGAACCTTCACAGAGGCTCTATTAATGTGACTAAGCTATAAATATTTAACAAAAGAAAAATCAGAAGCACCAATACTTCTGCATGCCTTGGATTTTCAGATGTGAAATCAATGCTCTGAACAACAGGAAGTAAAATCCAGTTGTAAGAAGCATTAACATTGAATGGCAATGCCATAAATATTAAGTCCCCATGCAAGGCTTTACTCTGTGAATGAAAAATAAGCTGCACAAATAAAATCTTAAACACAGTTATTATATAATAAAAGCATATTCCACAACTTAGATAAGAAGCTTCAGAGTAGTGACCTTCCAAAAAGTAGGAATACTTCTGAAAACATCTGAACAAACCGATCAGAAAACTCTATTTTCTCCTTTCTTCTGTGTCTGGTATGAAAAAAAAAGCTAAACATACCCATGCTCTGATTTTCATCATCTTGGTCAATAAACACATGATCCATGACAAAACTGAGAAGTTCTGACTGGAGGCCTGAGTCTGGATTGAACACCAAAGGCTGGAGCCCTTCTCGACCTCCCGTCATCAGCTGGTGACTAAAAATCATCAGGAGATCACAGAGCAGCATGAAAGCCTGCAAGGCACAAGAGAATGAATGCAGAGAAAAGCCAAGAAAGGAAAACAAAGTAGAACTGATCTAATTTCCAGATATCCCCTGCTACCATTAAACAGCTTCTTAAACTGTTCTCAGGTGGAGCTGTTTGTGTGCTGTGAGAGTATTCCATGATGGCTTCCTCTGCTTTGGAATGCTGTGCCCTTGGTTCCTAGGTCAGGAACTGTGGTTATGACCTTCTCCATGTCCCATATCACCCATATTAAACTTCCATTTCTTCTCTAGGAAAAGAACTCTAAATCTACCTCTGATCCAAGGCCTGCAGCAAAATTTGTAGTAAAGAGAACACACCTCTTTTGATAAACAGTCAAAAAATCAAACAAGTAAAAACATGAACAACACTGAGGGAAAATTCCAGCTGAGTCACTGTCAGACCCCAAAAATACAGACAAACAGCCACAGCAAGGACATTTTTGCAGAATTTCATCAAAAGCTCTGGCAAAAAAAGAACCAAGTTTGTCTGCACAGCTTTCAAATCCAGACAAAAGCCAACTTGGGCAGAATTGTCCATGATTTATGCTCATTACTATTATATCCTCATTACCTGAGACAGGAAAGAAGGCAGCTGTCATTAACTTCCTTCCTTCCAGGGGCTCATTCCTGCATGGCAATAACACTGTTTTGCCCCCACATGGCTTCTGCTGGTGCCTCACAGCCAGCTGTCTGCATTTGATCACATTCAGCACATTTCCAAAGCCTTTTTATTCATAGCTTCTCTATTTTTAACCTCAGGTTCTGAAAACTTTACAAATTTCCAAAATAAAATCTGAACTTCCCAGTAAATGCTGCACTTCCTAGTGGCTCCCTCATTTCTGGGAGTATGTTATCAAATCTGAATGAGCTACACTCAGGCAAGAACAGATGCACATCATTGTAAACTATGTTCTGTTGAGACCTTAGGAACAGATGTTGCAATTTGGGATTTTTCTCCTTTTTATCCAAAGGCTGTGATTCATTCCAGTGATGATCTCACCTGCTCTAAACTCCCCTGATACTCAACAGAACTGAAGCTCTTCCTAATGCAGACCTCTAAAAAAGAGCAGATGAGTAATGCACTGCTGGTGCTGAGTTCTGGCCAATATAAAGGCAGCAGTGGGCTCAGTCACAGGATATTTATTTCCCTCAAACACTCATGGGAAAGTTGAAATGTTTCACTCTTGTTTCTCTAAATACTTCATACAGTTTTCCTTCCTTTGATATGGACATCAACTTTGTCTGGAAAGAATGTCTGGAGCAAGGATCAAGTATGGTAGGGAGACAATTTGCACATAATTCTCAAAAAAAACCCAGTAAAACACAAACAGTAAGTAGCAGTCCTGCTACTCACAGAAACATACTTTTTAAGGAAGAAAACAAAAGCAAATCATGGAAGAGTCAGCTGGAATGGGTCCCTGGAGTCTCCAGCCTACTCTGCCCAGGACACTCCCTCTCTCTGGGCCTGCCTGGGCGTGGGCTTGTCTGGCTGAGGCTTGGAAACTTCCCCACAACGGGGAACTGCACAGGAGCTTCTAAACAAAGTTTAAATTATCAATGAAAAAACCATTGTGGCCACTGGCAGGAACAGAACAAACCCATGTTAATCCACCTCAAGAAGAAACCCACAGCAGGAATGCCAAGGAGCATTTGCCATTTGCTGAGGCAGGAAGGATGGCAGGTCCAGCTCGAGCTGGAAGGTATTTGCATGCAGCTAGAAGATATTTTCACATTATACAATATTAATATAATATGCCAAGAGTAACTACTCTGAATATTAAAAAACAATTACTAAAGTAAAATCAGCTGGAAGCCAATGACACACAAGTCTTTTAGAAGTACATAAACTACTGACATCTCTGAGCATTTAATGTTTATAGTTAGCAATCTGAAGAACAGAGAGTAAATGCTAAGCAGAGCTATCTTTCAAAGAAATAAATGTGTCTTTTGACAAGTATTATCTTTTAAATACCACAGGCAAAAAACCCAGGCCAGTTATTAGTTATACTCTGCAAAATCTGGGGAGGTCTGATAGAAATGCCATTTGTAGACAAATGTCATTGCCATAAATCAGTGTGTATTCACATAACCTCAGCTAACAAACCAGCTACTGTGTCCTGCAGAGACAGATTTAATTATTTCAACAAACCCTTTGATTCAATGAGAAAAAAACCCAAAAATATTCAGCCCATTTGAAGTCTCAGCCACCCTCCAGTAGTGCCTATTTCCTTTTAAACAGAAATGCCTACTGCCTTTTAATGCAGTGTCTGCAGAAAAAGTCTTTCAGCTGAGGTGACTGAGTTGGATGCCTGAAGTCACGAGGGCTGGGAATGAGCCTGAGCATCCAGGTAATCCTTACTCACTGTTAATCAAAAGTTAATATGTCATGAGCTGTGCTTTGGAAGTTCTGTTAATACAGCTGCTCTTCTGGGCTGCTTGTTCACATTAATTTAGATTAGACAGAGGCACAGATTATTTTACTTTAAGTTTGATGTAGTGTTGTCTTGAGTTTTACTACAATTTAATAATCACACTTTTCTAAGAGTCAGACATTTCTTTTACCTGTTCTTTGACTGGAGTGTTGACATTTGATAGACACTGCTGGCAGACAGCCAGGAAGGATTTCACAGTTTTCCTCAATACCAACAAGTCCTCCTGGAGTAAAGATTAAAAAAGAAAGTATTAAAAAATTAGTAAGAAGTTTCTTGAAGGAAGCAAAATAAAGAAATAGTGGTGGTGATGACTTCATACATTGTACAAAAAGCTGTGAAAGAAATAAGCTATTCAAAAAGAACACACAGAGAAACAGTGCCATGGTTTTACAGTGATGATGAACCAATCACCAAGAAGAAAACAAGAACCCCAAATGAAATGAAATGAGATGAATTCACAGCAGGATGGCTGGGCCCTGCTCTGCAGACCTTCCCCCAGGACAGCCCTCTCAGAGGCAATGTCCTGCAGAACAACCTCCAAGCAATGTGAAGAACCTACATAGTGCCCATGCAATGTTTTCCTTGCAGAAATGTTTCACTGATGCTGTTCAGCCCATGTGTCTCAGTTCTGGTTTTAGCTTTCCTTGTGCTTCCTGCCACGAGCTCTCGTTGTTCTGTGTTTACTGCAGAGCCTTTTTGTGGTCCATATGTTCTCCCTGTGCTGGTTCACAGCACAACACAGGACTGCCAGTGTGCCCAAGCACCCAGAGTGTTCCCAAAGCTCTCAATTTCTCATCACTTCCAATGGAGTGAGTGGGATTTGCTGCTATGGACACTCAAGGTCTGTGCAATCCCTCACCTTCCTATTCCTGAGCAGTTTTTCTCTGATGATGCAGCCATGGTGCCACTGCATTACCCTGGCATTACAGAATCTCTAAGACAGTTCTGCTCTATTCTAATCACAGCTTGGATATAAACCTCCCATTTGGCAGCATTAAGATGCCTCTTTTTAAAAATTTTAAATTGTGTTTTGTTCACTAATTGATCTATATCATGCCCATTTTCAGGGCCTTCCCAGATGACTGATAAAAATGACCCTTTTATTGGGAGAGAACAGATCTCTGCCAGAATGCATCAGAAACTACTCCATTGTGCAAGGATTGCTCACCTACATTTTTTCTTTAATATATGAATCTGTTTTGAGCTATTGAATATGAGTTATATTAAATCCAAACATGCACCTAAAATGCAATGTGGTATTAATGTCTTAGAGACACTGGTGTTTCAATTGATTTTCTTCTCAGTCAAAAATGCAATCTCATCAACAAGAAATTGATGTGTTTCTTCCAATCTTAGCTGTTGGCCCTTCAGCCTTGTACCAACTGTGTTTTCTGTCTCCCACTCCAAGATTCTACCCAGGACTGATGCCAGGCATCAGTCACAGTCACATGATTTACCCCTTCAAGCACTGGGATTACAGTCACCTTCCTGCTTTCTACTTTCTATTGCAATTACCTTCCATTTAGGTGTCCATGAATTCAACAGAGAAACTAAAACCCATGAAAAAACCTACATACAGGTTAAAAAGGGAATGAGTGTGTCTCCCATTTTGCTTTCTGTCAAAGTGACTAACAAGCAGGTACATGATATTCATTACCCTCTCTCCTGACAGCATAGCATGATAGAGATTCATATTGCAAAGTTACAGACAGCAGGAGAAAGCCCAGCTGAGCAGTGCAATGCAGCCATCTGGAACTCTTGTGAGCTTGGAGAAATCCCCAGACTACTGAAGAGTGGGAATTTTTTTCAACAGAGAAAATGAGAAAAAAAAAAAAAAAAGATTTCCAAGTCTTTGAGCATTCTGGCATTCTGGGGTGCACAGCCCAGGCTCCTGAGGTGTGAGTACCTGATCTGCCTTCAGTTGAAAAGCTGACACGAAACCATTTGATCATTCTGTTGGCTGTTAGGCAAAACCACGAGGTCACAACTCTGCAATTGAACTGCTCCATGGCAGGAACAAGAATGAGCTGCTGAGAGCAAGGGCTGGAGTCTGTGCCACCACCCAAACCCAAACCCAGGAGCTCAAAAGACTCATGTCTACAATTCTTTAGGTACGTTCCAGCTTTAAATTAAAGTTTGTTTATTCCAATGAAGTAATTTTAAAATGCTGTGCTTTTGCTACGTTCATCACCCAAACCCCATCCTCTTCTCCCTATGTGCTCACAGCTTTTCTTCTAAAGTACTTATTATTTGCAGTATTAACTTCAACTTCACAGGTTTGAAGAACTCTCAGCTTCCACTCCATCTGTGGAAAATGGTCCAACCTTTTGTTCCTTGTGACATTTTTCTTCCCTTTAGCTTCTTCTGCTTTCTGTCATCATGCCCATATAAATATGAAAAGTCACCAAGTCACCACATTGCTCTTTAAACCCCTTTTTAAATCAGGTCTCCTAAGTCCTCTGCCCACTGATCACACTCTCACAGCCAAGCATTTGGCTGCTCTGGCTGCTGCTGACCCACAACTGGCTAACCTCTGTCTTGGCTCTCAGTGTTTGCTCTAGTCATGCTTTATTTGTACTGTTTTAGTTTTAGGACTCTATTGTCCTGCAAGTATTTCCTTCTCAGTACATACACACAGTGCAATGTCCTGGGTACTGGGACATGGCTGAAGAAATCCAAGTGGAAACAAGTGTCTGCTCTAATCCCCAAATTTCCTGCCTCAGGCCTGTCCCTGCTCCCCCAGACTGACAGATGACAGAACTCCAGGGGAGAAATGACCAGTTTCCCTTGGAACCACCCTCAAACCCCTTTCCACCTGAGGAGTTTTCTTCCAGGCCACAACAGGCTGCTCCCACAAGCCATGGAGGATTGAGCTTTCTCCCCCAGTACAGCACTGCTTGCCCCAAAGAGCACCAGTTGGCACAAACAGCCCCACAGCCTCAGCCTCCACTGAATATGCACAGAGGGAGACCAAAGGTTACAACATCAGACTGTGGATATTTCAAAGTTTATACATTGCATTCATACCTGCTGCAGCCTTCCTTTCAGTAATCAAGTTTTCCTTTCAAGTTTTAGACACCAAGATGACTCCACAGGACACCCTTCTCTCCACAGGACAGCTTGAAGAAGTGTTTCAAAATAACTCTGCCCCAACTCTCTGCTGTTTTCAATGGGTAAAATCTTTGTTGTTGGGCAGAGAATATGGACTTTCTTAATAATTCAAATATCCATTTATTATCACCTTCCTGCTAAAATGTCTTTGATACATTTTTATGCTGATAATAACGTATCAAAGATACTCCTTTTGGCTCTATTTACAAATGATATTGAACAGTGAGGGGCACCTCACCCCCTGCTAACAGCCTGGAGAAACAAGAGCTCTTTGTGTGTATCCTGGGAAGGAGACTTCAGTAACCTGTGACCAGCTGAAGGGCAAGTTTGGAATCTGTAGGTGTTCATTAACATTTTAGAAATGTCCAATATTCTGGTCCTGCATTCTGTAGAGCTGATAGTTATCCTGGAGCTGTGTGGCACTGGCTGTAGGTCAATTATGTGCTGTTAATAAATCAATGAGCTGACTTGATCCTAATTAGATTTAAACCACAAGAGCTGAGTTTTTCTCTGCCACACATGGAGTCCATTCCAAAACAGCTGGATCAGGTAGGGAGCCATGATCCAGAACATGCCCAACAACTGGAATATGAGTATCCCTCACACAGCAATTAATGTGCCCTGGCCTGGCCATAATGCCCAGGACAGTTCCAAACAAGGGCAGCTCTCTCAGGACAGAGCTCTATTTTGGAAGCCATTTGAACACCAGACAAAAAATAACTTAATTCCAAAATGACTCTGTTCCCAGTGTATGCCTATGGTTGTCAAGTATGACTCCACCACAGAATCAATACAAGATACAGAAATTACCAAGCAATTCTGAACTGTAGCCAAAGAATTCACTTTGAAGGAAACCTTGCCAGAATTCCCCATCCCACCTGCAAACTCCCTGCAATGAAAGGTGCACCTGATGGATGCAAAGCACACATGAAACAACAAATGTAAAACTTGCCAAGATACTTGTACTTGTTTCCATCTTTTATTCCTGTACTTACAACTCCAACATGTTCCTATACTTCATCCTGTGCACTGACTGCCTAAATGGGACCTCATGAGGTGAAACAAAGCAGCTACTACTGCCAGCATGAGGTCACACAAATGACCCAGCTGGCAGCAGATGAACATTTCTTACAAATCAATCCCTGCACCTCTGATCTCTCAGCCTGACTGTTCAAGGCAAAGCTAAAAGATCATCTTTGGAACATGAGCCTGAGAACAAAAATTCATAAATCTATGGGATATAGAAAAACAAAGACTTAAGATCAGTTTTATGGCATATTATAAATTCTCTTCTCTCCATTTTCATCTTTTATCTTCCTTCCCCACTAATTCTCCTCCTAACTCTGTTACTGCCTCTCCCTCCCTGCTCTCACCCCTCCTCTGCAGGTCCAAGGACTTTTTCCTCCCCTGTCAGAGTTTACCTCATTTGTATCTAAATAGAAACCAAGCAATTGCTTCCAGCTGGTCTTTTGCTTTGTAATCTTCTGCTTTTATCTCAAACCTGAAAGGCTTGTGAGCCCAAAAGCCTCTCTACTTCTGGCAGCTATATCCATTGGTCTACTAGAGAGGCTACACACCATCACCCCTCTCTGCCCTGAGATCATTCTAGAATCAGCAAAGTAGCCCTAGAAACCTGCATGGACTTACATATTAAACTGCTGTGCCAGAAATGTTGCTGTAAAAGCCTGAATACTTCCAAAATACCCATGAAATAAATGTTTTTCATTCTGAGATGCTTCTGTTAATGCCTTTGCCTACCTAAACCATACAAGTTTAGGTAGACATAGGTGCCCTTTAATGTCTACCAATTTCCAAGCCTAAATAATGACTTATAAACCAGCCATGGGCAAAATTATTTCCCAGTGGATGAAATGCCACATACAGTGCAGATCAGATCTATTTTCACAGTGAACTGGAAAGTTTGATAGCAGAGTGCTCCAGCCACAGCAGGTCTGTGGGTGTCTCTTTGCCCTCAGCTGAGGCTGCTGCCACTCTGAAGAGCTGCAGGGCACTAATGCTGCAACTAAGCATGCACAAAACTCATTTTGTAGAGGCTGGGGCGGAACCCCAAATAAGAAATTGCTAGGAGTTCTCTAGGTGACAGTAATTATGATTTTCATGGGGCAAAGCCAAACTGACTTCTATTGGGCATGGTCATTCTGGAGTGACCCTCTGGAGGTCTTGTAGCACTTCAATATAACATCTTTACCTTTTTGATGCTGATGGAGAAGTACAATTATCACTTCAGTTTTCATGTCATTTTAATTTGATGTATTACTTTTGAAAAAGCTCTGAAAGAACAGGATGTTGGTCTCTGACTGAGAAAAGAGCTAAGGAAAGGTCCTGGAAAATTCACCTGCCACCTTGTCCTGACCATACTTTGTGTGCATTTGCTTTTTATTAGCAGTTGTTACCTCCTGTGCCCTGACATTTTTATTGCAACATAAAGGCTGTAATTAGAGAGTAAGCAAAGTAACTTATCACATCAAGATTAAGATATCTGTGGTCTACAGATCAACAGTATTGCTCACAACTGTTCATGTCAACATTCCTTATCAGCCATGCAAACTGCAGTCCTCACAATAAAGTGTGTTAATTATCCTCTGCAATAAAAATATAATAATCAGCTGCTATAAAATCCTGATTAAAACTATTTACATTGCTTAGACATATGCATGATGTTAAATAGATCCTGAAACACGGAACGAATCTGAACAGCAACATTTTATATGTTATAAATGACAACAAACGATGGCAAGAGTGGAAGTTACAAAGAAATCAGGTGTAACACCTTTGCAGGTAAGTTGTGTCTGTCAGTAAAATCTGTTTGATCAAATGGCCACTTACTTTGGAAGGGGAGCCCTCAGTGATTTTCACCAGCTGCCATAGAATAGAGTAGTGGGAGCACTGCAGTGCCTGGACAACGATCTGTAACACAAGAACACACAGAATCTCAGCATGCTGCTAACAGCAGGCACAGCAGGAAGTGTATGGAAAATCTATCAGGCATTTTGTGCTGAAAAGACAGGAGCAGCTCTTAGCACTTTTTATTTTCAAGGGTATCAAGTTTTCCCTTGGTTGGCTTGGTGCAATAAGAAATCAGCCTACTAGAGGCAAAAAAATACTGTGTAAATCTGGGAAACACCAGAAGTCTGCACTGGGATACAGCAGGAGGAGATGTCACAATGTGACAGAAGTACAACACAACACCTACATCTCTCAGATCAAAAGCATCTGTATTGAACTTTCTCTATACCTGGTTTCACTATTAAACAGCATTAAAAATCTGTTCCTATGGAAAATGAACATGTAGCCCAATTGCTAAAAAAAGGGAGAAAACACAACTTGTCCCATGGAGAAGACCAGGGTCATATAAAGCATCCATGGTGTCTCCTGAACAGCTCAAATCCAGAGGAGGTGCTACAACTGTCAAACTCCTCAGGGTGGCCTGCAGGAAGAAATGCTGAGCAGAGCTCAGATTTCAGCACCTTTCCCTAAAATCTTATGGAGGCATTTGAAGAGCCACACACTGTCAGACCCAGAGGATGGCTGGCAGCTGCAGGGACAGGCTTGATCTGCCAGCCCTGTCTCTTCAGTAGCACAACTCCAGCATGAAGCAGCAACTGCAGAGAGAGGACTTTCACACACTGTGTGGCAATGCCTCCTCTTAGGGTCCTTTCTACAAAATTCTTATTCAGAATTTCATGAGAATTTATTTTTTCTAAATGAAACTGAGCTAGAATTAACAACTGGCTTCTAACTGAAACAAAATAAAAACTTAAAATGTTTAAATGCTTAAGTAGGAATTCTGCGGCTTAAACAGGAGTCATGGGAGAATATGAGATGGCTCCTGTGCTCATCCATGAGAAACAAAAACTGAACTCTGAGGGAACAAAGTCCAAGATGTGTTCACTAAAAGAACTCCACTAGGATGTTCTAATTTCCTGGTTTTCATAAGCTTTCATCTTACCTTCCATGCACAATAATAATTTGTGATCATTCTAATTGCAGCCAAGGCTTACAATGTTGGGTTTCAGTGTAAACATCAGGATTGATGCACTGCTTTTCAGAGTCAGGAACATCAGCTATTCCCAACTTTCCAAATGAGAAAGGTGAGGGAAGAATCTCACAAATCATACATGGAACTTTTGAATTCTGTACAAGCAGACTGTTTAGACCCTCAGACACCCCAGTGATGCAGTGCAGGTGCTGTTAAGGGTACCTGTTCTGGCATAGCTCCGTGTTCAATTCCAGTTCTCAGCAATCTGTAGCAGTTACTGAACAGATCCCATTTGGTCAGATCATGAGCACTGGAACGAGAGAAAATCAAGAGGGATTAATTGTGTTCCTCAGAACCCCCAGCCCAGAGAGCTTTGGTGGTTTCCACAGCTGACCAAGCAGCTGCACAGCACCTGACTCCATGCTAAAAGCACAAGTCAGGCTTTCTGATAATCCAGGAAAAATGTTTTACTACATAGGATTTCTTTAGGGAGCAGATAAACTCTCCATATCATACACCTATAAAGGCTACTTAAGCATAGCTGCTGCTTCTCTCTCTAAGTTATCGTTCCTCTTTTGGAAACATTGACAGAACTCCAGAAAACCCTTCCCTGACATTGCAGTAGAAACTACAGCCAAGCTCTACCAATATCTACTGAATAAAAACGGCTGTAAGCAAAATAAAATTGTATATTTTTCTACTATCTGATTTGGAAAAAAATAAGACACATGACCACTAGATATAAATACCCTGAATATCTGAAGTGAGACCATATGATAACACATGGACATGAGATAGAGATGGTGGCAATATTTCAGTTGCACCAACCTGATTTCATCTGTGAAAGGAATAAAAATGAAATTAGGGACAAAGACTCTGTAAGGCCTTACAGACCTCAACAGCTCATGAAATGGTTTGTTAATAGAGAAGTGAGAAATACAGCAGCAACTGAAAAACATCAGGTTGCCTGAAAGACAAAAATACTCTCTCAGCAAGTAAATTAACATTTAAAACATTTTTCTGCAGTGGAAATAAACGGAGATAATTTGAAACAGTTTGTAATATGTCAATAAAAGAGCAAGCCAGCTCAGAATACTCAGAAAGTTGCTGATTGAAGTGCTCACCTGGAAGGAGGGATACTGAGACTGAATGGGGAGTCTCAACTGGCTGCAGCAGCCTCTTGCACCTGACTCATCCCAGCACCTGGATCACCCAGCCAAGCTCCCTCCTCCCACCCCTGTGCCTGTCCTGGGTCACACCATTAACTGCCCTGCTCAGCCAGAAGGAAAAACTCCCTAGGTCCAAAAGGGCAGAGGCTGAACTCAGCACTGGCAATGCCCAGGTCCTTTTGGAGGCCCTGCCATGAAACACCTCCCATGCTGGAGCAAGCCAGCCCTGGAAAATGTCACTGGGAAGAGCTTCACAGAAAGCCATCAGAGTGCCCTGTGCACTCCAGGGCTGGGCCATTAAAGCCGAGGTGCACCTGAACTCCCAGTTCAAATCCATAAAGAGAAAACCAGGAACACTCAAAAAAATACTGGAACTAAAAATGGAAAAAGCCAAAAAGATATTTTGCGGACTTAGATGGTCTTTGAGGTACTAAAATAAATTGTTTCATGGATAAATTAGAGGCTGCCAGAGAGCTGCCTCTGACTGGAGATATTAAGCACAGAGATGCTGCTTCCATGAATCACAGGGTTGCCAGCAAGGCAGAGTGGTACTTCCTTAATTACAGCACTGTAATTAAAGCTGCAAAGTCTCCTTGGTGTGCAGAGGCAGATACCTGCACAGATTACCCTACAGAGAATATCAAAGGAAAAACTGTCTCATTCCTGCCTTTTCAGTTCAGAAATCCCCCATCAGGCAGCCAGCACAGGGGCCATGTCCTCACAGCTGGGGACACTCAGCTCCCTGCCCTCTGCCTTACAGCTGAGCTCAGGAAGGGCTCTTCAGCCTCCAGAGCTGAAAAATTCTAACTATGTACAACTTACACACAGCCTTTCAATTGAAACTTTCTTCAAGCAGAGCCTCCACATTACAGTTAGGCATATTCTGGTACCTCTTTATCACTTTTGAGCTACTTAGCCATCAAAATCATAGTTAAAAAGGGATCTTGGACACCACACAATTCTCCACAGAAGTTCAGGAAGAAAATTCACACAACACAGAATTTTCCCTTAGTTTCTTCCATGTCAGACTATTCATGGGCTTCAGAAAACAAGTTCCAGTATTTCATCCAAGGTTTCTTTTAATTCTTATGGACAGCCCTGTCTGCTGGGGCACATTTCTGCCAGACAAGAGGCAGGTGAAGTAAAGGTACCAGTTTCATGGTGTTTCTCAAATGTGGCATAAAACAGCTTAGAAAAGTCTCTTTTCCAAGAAGTGACCTTTCCACCCACCAAACTGCTTCACTTCTTCAAGATGCACAAAGAGAGGGAAGCTGTACCTTGGGCTTTGAGCAGCTGTGCTACTGACACAGTCTAATTTCTCTAAAAAGGTTTCATTTCATTTCATTCCCACACTGTGATAAGGAAGAAATGATTTGTGGCTCTCTGCCACCTGCACATGAAGCTTTCTCTCATGCTGACAGGAGAAAGTGCTTCCTGCAGTTAGAGGGCAGATCAGGCCTTTGTGCTGTGCTCCAGAATTCACAGCTCCAGTGAAGTTCTCCAGGTTGCTCTGCACATGCTGAGGATGCCCATAGGTCTGAGAGCAGCAGGAACCTGAAAAGCTGATTTGTGCCTGATGAGGGAGATTCTGTGCAATCCACAAAGGGAAATTTGGCCAACAATTCAACTGTAGGAAGAAAAAGCATCTTCCAGGCTCTCACCATGAACTATTATTAGTTCATATATAACATAATTATTATTACTACTAATAATTAATTCTATAATTTTGAGGAGAAGTAGCTCAAAGGCATTGAGAAACAGCTTCCTATAGGCTCCCTAAGCTGAGGCCCAAAGCAGAGTGTCCCCTGTGCCCTGACTGTGTCCTGTGGGAGAGCAGGACCTGTAGTAATTTACTCATGGGTGTAAGAGCACTGGGTGCAAGGGAGGAGGTGCCACTTGCAAATCTCATCTGCAAAGGTCGTGGCACAAACTGAGCAAGGACCAGATCAACCCAAACACTTGCACTGACAAACTCCACCAGTCATCCTCCATCTCCACTTCAGATTTCAGGCCACGTGTTTTCTCATTTCCCCACACCTGACACTGCTGATATTTGCTGAAAGGATAAAATTAACATCACAGATTTGTGAGGGAAGGCACCACCTACTTGTGAAAAGATGTCAACCTCTTCAGTGTAGAGAGCACATTGTAGATGTCATCATCATCAGCTTCTTCTCCCTGCAAATGAAAGGCAATCCATGAGGAGAATCCAGCAATTCAGCCCAGTACATTACTGCACAGGCAGGAGCAGCTTCTTAGGGGTTTACACTGATATCAAAACCATCTCCAAAATTTCCAGTGGCTTTTATGTAGATTCCATAATATTTAAGTAGCCACTGCACAGCACTAAAAAACAAGCAAGTTCATCTGACAATATTCAGCATTATCACTGTGGTAATATCCAAACCTGTACCCTTCAGCAATAGAAAACATTCCCAAGATCAAAATCTGAGTTCTATCTTATTTTATAAAAAGGACTGAACCACCAGCTTTAATCACTAGCTGATGAACATGCTACAACACAATTTTAGAATTTTCTGTAAACTAAACAGCAAATTCCCTTAGTGAATCAAGTGAAAATAAGGTATTTCAGCCCTAATTTTTCCAGCAATTTTCTAAAATAAGAAACCACTTGCAACCATTCTTCTCCATCTCACTTTGCTAATTTCTTTTCCATCTAAAAGGCTAACAATTAAAACATCTTCCTGCCTTCAGATGCAATTGTCAATCAGTGTTTCTCTCATTATCAGCCCAGATAATTACTTAGGCACCAGTAGGCAATTTTTAAAATTTAAAATGTCTTTACAATGATGAAATAGACTCATTAAAATAAATTATTCAAACAAATATCACTTAAAAAAGAGTATCACAAAAGGCCATAATTTTAAATCCTTGCTACTGCTGTTCTCATTCTTCCAGGTTTCCAACCTGTATCTTTTACTCTTTCCAGGGCTCTTTTAACATGCCATTATACATATTTTCTTAAATTCCTCTCTTCTATTCAAACCATAATCCAATCTTGATTTTGCTGCCTACATATGCATCTGGGACTATGGGAATCACTAAAAACATTAATGTAAATGCAACTTCCTCTGCACTTTTCATCATCTTTTATCCATTCATCCACTTAATTCCTTATGTGGACTGTTTTAATACTCAACTGAATTTTCAGAAGCAGGACTGTCCCACAGTCTTGTTTTACATGACCAATGATTTGAAGGCTTAATGGCTACTGTAAGGGACTTTCCACAGGGAGAAGTGGCTCCAAATAATTATAAAATAGCTGGTGCTGCACTACATCTTCAGAGGGATCATTTCATGGCTTGCTAAGAATGTTTTTCTGTAGCTTATCCTACCATATTTTAGGCAGTTCAACAATTTTAAGAAAACAAACCTCCTGCAGTAGATCCTCGACAGAATGGTTGAATCGATCCACAAATTCATCAATAAGTTGGCTGTGGGCTATGTCAACTCTGTTCTGGATGGTGTATTCCTCACTGCAGAGGATGCTGTAGGTTTTGCTGCAGGCTTCCAAAACATCTGATTCCACATGCTTTTCCACAACAAACTTAATCTGCTTCAGTAAGGCATCCAGATGCTGCAGAGCAGAAAGAACTTCAGCTCTCCCTCAATGGGACAATGACACTGAGCAAAGCCACTGCCAGAGCACCCACCCAAGGCTGCACTGCTCGTGTGCCAAACGAAGGCACAGCACTGTGGGGCTGAACAGGGCTCACCTGAGAGCAGCCACACCTCCTGCCCAAGGCACAATACCTTTTCCATTCTGCCTGTGCTGTAGATTTCCAGGTCAAAGTACTGAGGGATTTGCAGGAGGTTTGCAACCTTCTCAGCGTCAGCGGAATACTGGAACATCATGGCAACAAAACAGACAACAGGGAAGTGAAAATAAACCCCTGCACTGCAGAATGAGAAAGTTTAAAGGCAGCTGTAAATCCCAGTGAAAGATTTATTTTGTTGAAAACTGTACCTTTGATAGCAGCATGGGAAGTGCAATAATGAAATGCTCAGTCAATTTATTTCTGTCGTCTATCTGAGTTTTTCTTTCTTTTGCTGTCAAGACCTGGAAGTGATCAAACGTCACTACAGTAAATACATTTTCTGCATATAGCATTCATTAACTTTTCTAAACATTGTATTACAAGCAAAAACCCATGCAAGAGTATTTTCTAATAAATCAAACGAGGAGGGAATAAAAAAATCAAAACACATTTGGGGTGAAGAGTGATTAAAGAGTGTGTCCTAAGCAGCTGTGACTGAAAAGGAAAATACTCTGTCACCCAGTATGACATTGTTTCCACACATTAACATCTTTTTAGGATTGAAATTCAAATATAATTCCAGTCAGTGGAATTTTTGCTATTGCTTCCAACTGTACTGAACTCTGGCTTTCACACATTAAACCAAGCAGTAATGTAAGACCTCAGGGCAAAGTGAAGTATAATTAAGAAAACCAAAACCAAACCACACTGTAACAATGATTTTCATTAGCAGATTCATAGCCTCCTCTCTAAATGGAATGGAATTCTCAGTGAGAACGTGCATCCAAGTTCACAGCGAGGTACTGAAGCACTAATGCTGTCAGAACAAAACCCCCTTGAACAGAGAGACAATAATCAAACCAGCATGCTTTATCAAAACCTAGATCTGGCTTCCTGGCTTCAGGAAAGAAATGAATACTTTTGAGAACAAATAATGATAATAAAATACTCAAGTCAGCTAATGATTCACATGTAGCCAATCAGCCAGACTGCACAGTAAAGGTTACAAGCTAAAGCCAGAGGAGAAACTATTTCCCAAGAAAGTGAGTGCTTAATTAGAAATCTGCTCCCTTTCAACTCAGAGAACAAGCTGGTGGGATTGTGAGACAGGATGAACCTATCTCCAGGGACAAGGCAGAGACCCCTGCAGTTGCCATCCCACAACTCATGGTCTAAGCAAAAAGAAGCAAAAGCTAAGTGTCACCTCTGGTGGCTCTGCAAGGGAGGAGGAGCAGCTGGACACAAGGCATGTGCCTGGATGCCAGGCACTGTGCCAGCAGGAACCCAAAACTGCCATGGAAGTGGGGGAATGGATCAGTGACCAGGACAAGCCACCACCTGCACAGTGCAAGGTGCAGAGATGGCTCCAGAGCAGCCTCAGGCTCTGCACACCCACCAGGGCAGCACAGCCAAGCTCAGAGCAGTGCAAACCCAGGGCAGAATCCCAGCCCTGACAGCCCCGTCGTGTTCTGGGGACCAAATATGGCTGTTCCCTGGCACTGGGAATTGATCTGTGTCCCCAGCATGACTTCCAGCCTCTTTTGATCATCCTTCAGAAGGTGGAATTTGTTTTACTGATCTGTTTTCTTTAGCTCCAAGTACAGACATTGAAAACTTAAGACAAAGCAATTTGTTGAACTTCGGGGAATTGAGCTGTAGATCTCTTGAAAAAGAGAAAATATCTGGAAAGTTAATAATGACATTGTTTAGTGCTCCAAACAGAAAATACCGACATGTCTGTTTTTTGGTTTTCTTTTTTTTTTTTAATTTAAAGGTCACTTTGACTGCTAGAAAGATTTGCAGCTTGAGACAAAACATTTGGGCTTACAACACAGTTTTTGTAACAAAAGATAAGACATGCTTATGTAAATTTCAGTAAGTGCTTTCATGGATTCCCTCCTTAACCCTGAAATGTTTTAATAAATTAGGAATTCCTAAGAACGTGCTTTATAAATTGAAGTACATAAAGCATGTTTAAACTGATGGCTTCTTGGAGCTTTTCCTGGGATTCTGTTTCTGGACATGAGACTAATCTGCTTTGGCACATAAAAAAATCAGAAGTTAAGTAACTGCATTTTAGCAATAGAGAATGCCAAGACTCTCCAGATTTCATCTCTAATAAATCTGTGGCTTTAACAAACTAGTTATGATTATTTAGAATGGATGCTAAAAGAAGAACCATTTGTTCACGTTGGTTTATTCCACTTTTGCCTATCCTAAATAAGACTGGGACTACCAAAAATCAGGTGAATATGTTTAAAAAGCTGAGACTGCTTTGGAACATGGATGCTGTATTTATGGAAAATACAGCTGAAAGTCTGTTATTATCCTGACCCTGAGACTTATAATGAAGTGTTTAAAACTGCATGTCCAGCCTTAGGAATGGCCTTCCACTGGTGCTCAAACAGTCCCTATAAAATAAACTAAAGAGGCAATTTGGCCAGAATGTAAAGTTCTGAAATTTTTAGGGCACTCAGTGGAAGAGGCATAAGAGGATGGATGCCTAAAGGCACAGACACATTCAGACTGGTCCCAGTCCCACCCCTCCTGCTCAAAGCAGGGCCAGCCCAGGGGTCACACTGGGAGGATCAGGGCTTTGTCCAGTAAGGTCTCAAAAACAACCAAGCACAGAAAGGGCACCAACTCCCAGTACCTGTTCCAGTGCTTAAAAAACCTTTGTGATGAAGATCCTGTTGACTTTTCTGCAAATTTTATGTCCGTATTAGCAGCACATTCATTTTTATGGAAGACAGTCAGAGGCAGCCTGCTCTGCTCCTACACTTCCTACTCTTATGTAGGTTTAACAATAGGGGCTAATGATGTGGGTACATTACAAATATAAGGCAGAGATATGATAAAAAGAACATCCAAAAATATAACAAAAAAAGACTTTTATGCTGAAAGTTGCTTAACTTGGCCATGCAAACCCAAAATCAAAGAGAAAACCAAACATGTCCAGAAACGGAATTTCTAATATTTTCCTTAGAAGTGTTCAGATGAAACAGCAAACACCAATTAAAAACCCTACAGCAGGAGTGTCCAAAGTGGTGTCACAAATCTCCTCCATGCTCTGGTGGCAGCAGCAGCTTCAGCCACACTCACCCTCTTGCCGGTGCCCCTGCCCACGGGGGGATGTGCCTCGGCAGCCTGCCGGATGGTGCACACCATCAGCTCGATCAGGGCGCTCTCCTGCCGGTCCGACATCGCTGCGGGGACAACGGGGACAGCAGCCATCACTGGGGGCAAGGCAGCACCAGGGGACAGTGTGGGACACCAGGGGAGCACACAGCACCAGGGCAGCACACACACACCACACACAAGGCACACTGGCACATTCACTGAGGCTCTCCTGACGCCTCTTTGATTTGCCATTCATGACCCCGAAAAATGGACACGGCAGAAGTGAAAGCAGCCCAGAGAAATGCAGGCTGGAGAAAAGGATCAGTGAAGGGGAACATAAGGAAGATCTACAAAATAAAGGAGTCATAGAGGGGAAACAGTGACAGACAATTCACTGTCACTTCCTCATAAATTCTCTGCTCTCTGGCAAGTGCTTCTGCTCACATTTGGAGGCTCAAACCCCACTAGGCTAAGCAGAATCAATTTCCTAATGAAATTACCCTATAAATACCCCCACTGTAGCAGGTGCATACCAACAGGCCAGCCTTTGAAGCATGGACATGATGAGCACACCTTGCCAGGAGCATTGATTTTTCAAACACCTAAGCCCTGTGAAGGCCCCTGAAGCAGGAGAATCCTGGGGAATTATAAAGGATCTTGAATGACACTCATTAACCTTAGGACACTTTGCCCCCAGTCTCCCTAGCTACTTTGTGCAGCCAGGTCTATTATCAGCAAAAGGAAATCTGAAACCAATGGTGAAATAATCCCCTTTGTTTTTTCTCCTGAGCATTCACATTACCTGGAAAAGTCCCATATTAACTAGCATCACCTGAAGTGTTTGTTTATTCAAAACTGTCTTAGCTATTTAATTCATTGAAATAGTTATTTAAAGATTCAGACAAAATCAAGTTAAGACTTGAGTAAACTCCCTACAACATTAGGGAACCACAGTGCAGTACATTCAATTTAAAAAAACCTCCAGAGAACAATAAAGAAGAAAAATAGAGTACAAATTGCTGCTTTTGAAGGAAAGTACATTAAAAATAGATTAACCCAAAATCTTCAAATATGCTTTCCAAATAAACCACAACATAAAAGATGTTTTGCTATGGGTGGCAGAGGTATTTAAGGAATAATTAACAATACTGCGCAATGTCAAGGAAGCAGAGGGTTAAGCCAATACCTTCTTCTCCTTGGACTGGCTCCTCCAAGAGCAATTCTGTCATACATTCCCAGTCTTTCAGCAGTTCTTGAGAGCTCTCCCACAAGCTGTCCACCAAATAGGCTGCATGTTCATGCAACTAGAAAATCCAAAGCAATCATCAGTACAGCTCTTGGTATTAAGCACCCGTTCTTCAACTTTCATAATCATGTGGCCACACAGAGTGTCCTGGACACATATCTTATGTTAGTTGGAAAGAACATTCAGTTTGAAACTAATTCAGGAAGGTTTTCTCCCAAATGAATGACACCAGTGCAATGGGGTTATGCTTTAACAGAAACTAAATAAAACCAAACTGAGCTTCTTTTGCACAAAGCTGCTTGTTTGGGAAAAATCTTTGCCAGAGTTTTGACCCAGAAGCTGTAAACTTACCTTCTCTCACTTTCTCTCTGCATTACAAAAAGGAGAGATGGTAAGGCATGAGAGTTGTAAAGTATTTGTTTTGAACAAGCAATTGGTTTTCATACATGCTGCTATGTGCTCAAAAATAAGGAGCAAAAATCCTGGTGATTTCACAGGCTATAGATTTAACACTAACTTCAACTGCAAAAAATGTTTTCATGTGAATTAACACAACTGTTGTAAAGTGAGAAAAATAACCCATGGGCTTCTGCTGTTTTCTAAACTTATCTTTAACTACTACCAACAAGTAACAAGCACAACACACAGCTTGTGCTTGCCAGGGACTGACTCCTTAGCTGGAAAACATCCCTGAGTGCAGAGAAGGAGGTGTCAGTACATTCCTCTCCTCTGTTTTTGACAGCTTTGGGCAAAATGTCCCAGACTTACTGCTGCTGGGCAAGGCTCACTCCCTTGAATGCACCCCAGGCTGCAGCTTTAACTCATCCCACCCACAGGCAAACTCCCAATTCTCCAGCTCTTTACTAAAATTGGAGTCAGGATATTCTCCTTGGCTCCCAACAACTCTCTCAAAAGCAACAATAGCAAACACTGCCCCTGAGAGAGAAGTGACCTCAGGGAGCAGCATGGGAGGCACTTTGCTGGTCTTGGCTTTGGGAGTGGAGCAGAGTCTCTTTTCTCCTCAGGAGGACAGACAAGGTTAGTCCTAAGTAACTCAAATCACACTCACATCTAAGGGCTCCACACTGTAAAACACAATGAACTCTACAATCTAAGTTTTAAAGAAGCTGGAACTAAAAATCCATTCAGGTGGCAGACAGAAGGACCACACAGGTAGTGACATTTCATCCAGATTAATTTCTAGGTTTATGAGGTGTTTCTAAAAAACAAGAACACTACCAAAATTTTGTCCTTCCTTCTCAGCAACTCTGAGTGTTTCTTTTCATTCTCTCAGTCAAGTCTCTTGTTCAAGGCTTCATAACAATTAAAATAACCAATTGTAATATCTTTACTTTTGCTTTTTACCCAAAATATACTACAGTCCCTTCTCTAGAGAAACATTTCTGTCATTCCTTTCTTTCAATCTGCTTATTTATCAAATCAAATCAATACTTTTGAACCTTTCCCCCTCTATCTTAAGAACATCCTGTACCTGATAGTACCTTCTGAAATTCTTCTCCCTCCACACCATTCCCCATGTCTATTACTGTTACTACATGTACCACATAATTTCCTATAGATGCTGTCTCTATAAATCATGGGCATAACCCCACCCTGGGTGTGTTCACCAAACACTTCATCTATGCTTGTTTTCCTCATCTTCCAATGGTTCCAAGATGCATCTTCATAAAGCCCTGGAAGACCTCATCTCATCTCATCTCATCTCATCTCATCTCATCTCATCTCATCTCATCTCATCTCATCTCATCTCATCTCATCTCATCTCATCTCATCTCATCTCACAGCTGACTCTGCTCTGAGCTAAGGACCCTCAGGTCCTTCCCACTGAGTTAATCTATGATTCTAAGCAGAATTGGAGATATTATACAATTTTTTGTCCTGTCCTGATTCAAATTATTTTACTCCCCAAAGAATAACTCCAGAGGTATTCTCCTTGCATGGTTATGTAAGCAAAGAAGCATTTCCATTTGTGTGCAGCAATGCACCCTGGCAGCCACCACAGCACCAGCAATGCAGTGTGAGTACAGTGGGGACATGCAGGAGTTAAACCATGAAGATCTTCAGATCAATTTCCTTAATGGAAAAAGAAATGGAGGGGCAGGGAAAAGGGCTTATGGTATTTCTGAAAATATAAAATAAAAGGGAAAAGAAAGACAATTTATTACTCTATGTTGATAAATCACTACTTAAGTTCCAGGTTTTTTAAACATTTAAAGGTTAAAAATGACTTTTTTACCTCACTTTCAAGAAAGAAAAGAACCAACATTCTAATAAGGTTTCCATTTGGGCTATTTCGCCCTCTCCTCTTTGCTAGAGCCTCTTCAGCTTGGGGATCATGTCTGCTGAACAGCCTGAAAATAAGAAGAAGGAGCTCATGGCTATCACAACAATTCTCATTTCTGCAAGAATATGATGAGCATTCATTCTTGATACAGTAAATTTGTTCGTAAAACACTGCAAGTATCTCAAGCTATTTCTTTCAATGGAAAGAGGCCACAACCTCTGCCTGTCTGAAGAGACGAATTTGTCTTCAGTCTTTAAGTTCACAATGCTGGAAGAATTTCACACAGGAAAAAGTTTTCCAAAACCTATTTACATTAAAGGTTTTGCACAGTTTCAAGTATTTGTATCACTTGTACAGTTTTGCATTAATAACTTATCCAGTCTTGCAGTGGAGGCAGCACCTACTGCACCAGTGCACTGAGAGCTGGGGTTGTATCACTCTGGCTGGGACATGGGACAAACAAACCTGACATCCATCAAACAGCCAACCTCAGGTACCAGGAGCAGCATCAAAGATAAAACCAGCTCCTACCCATTATTTTGGGTTTTACACGTAAGTGACACGCTCTGCAATGGGTTCCCTGATGCACAGCCCATCCCAAACTCCACTCAATGCTCAAATTTTCCAAGAGGCCTCAGATGTGCCAGTATTGCTGTTACAGCAATGACTGCTTTACTTTGAGAAGTTTGAAAGCTGTTCCTGGCTTTTACAGTGAAATCACAAAGCAGATTAACATGTGAAACACAGAATTCTGATTTCAGTGCTGTAATTCACTGAAGAGAAGGACAAGTTACACACAAATGTTGTATTTTAGTTAAAAACATTACCTCATCCCCTCTGCTTATCTTAACAGCTAAGCAATGAGCACCTGTGCAGGTGCTGATACCTCACAACCTGCACCTCAGGGATGAGCCAGTGCTCCTCTGTATTTGGTGATCCTTTATATTCTCTGTACTATTTGCTTTCCTTGGCTAAGTACAGAGAGCATGGCTGATGATTATCACAGAGAAAGTGCCTGTGAAATGTATTAAATTAGGTGAGATAAATCACACCTCAAATGCCTGAAATAGATTCTGACTTATTTAACTGGAGATTTTCTCTGCAGAAACCAAGACAAAATTAGTTAAGAATGGGACAATCTTGTCTCCATGCTGTTAGCCTTGAGGCACATTTGCAGAACACAGCTTAATACCTTGTAAAAGAAGTCAAAATGAAGTTTTGTCTTTTTCCTAAGTGCACTGTGGAGAAGGTATGTCCTTATTTACCTTGAAGAATTTTTCAAAAGTATTCTGTCACACGTTGATTAATAAAGGAATTTTAGTGTGTATTTTTAATGAGAACCAACCCTTTCCAGTGACTAGTACAATGTGTTGTTAATGGAAATCTGCACATATATTCCTTGAAATGGGTAGTGCTTGATCACAAAGCTGCAATTCCAAAAATCCACCAAGGGAAGCTTACAATTACAATGTGGAGCTGTAAATGCTTAATAAACCATAGAAAATTAGAGCACTGGCAAAGAAAAACAGGTGTCTTTGTGTATTTTTCCTACCTGTATCTTGGCATGACAAAATTAGATAACATGGGTTCTAATATATATTCTCTATACATGTAATAAAAAACTCTGTCACAACCCATGAGAGGAAAAAAAATTAAATTCCTGCTGAAAGATTTTTAACTGCAAACAATAAAAAGAAGAGGTTAACTCTTATGATGTGGCAATGCCCTGGTCAGAGTTACAGAGGGGGTGTGACTCACATCCATGGAAAAGCTGGGTCATGTCCTTTGGCATAGTGAGGACATGAAAGATGTAACCATAATGCAATATATTTTCAGGGGAAGACAGTGAGTTTAGAAACAAATTTTGTAGTTATTGCTACATAAAAACTTCTCAAGTTCACAACAGAGAAATAAACTGTCTTAAAACTTTCTAGAAATTATGACTGTTGACATATCAGGTAGATCACCCCAGACTACAAGCCCAATATATGTATCTTATCACACCAGGAATTCAGCAAGTGCTGCAGGACTTAAACCAACTTCAGAAGTTTGTGCAGCCTTTGTATATTTAACCCTCAAGGAGTTGGGAAATGTTATCTGAATTGCAGAGCAAGAAAAATGTACATTCAGTTTCTTCAAGTCCTCAGATCTTGTTTAAACAAGAGAATAAGTCTCTGGTTTAAATGAAATACCTGATTTGCTGAATTGAGATATTTCACCCCATTGCTTCTTTGCTTTTTGATGTTACCTCTCTAGGAAGCATTCACAAACTTGGTCTTTTTCCAGGGCAACCCATGACTTACTTTTTGTGGAGGAACTCCCCAGCTGCTACTGCCACAGGCCGGTGTGCTGAGTACACCAGGTGATAAACATTCTCACAGTCTTCATTGGACAGAGCCTCCTCACTCCCACTGAAAGAGTCACAACAGCACCTCAGCTACAGCAGAGGTTTCATCTCCATCCCCTCACCTCCCACAGCTCACTTGGGACAGCTACAAGGTTGGTTCACTTCCCACAAAATCCTACATGGTTCAACAGGGACTTCAAGGATCTTTGGTTCAACTTGAAAATACAGAGGTATTTAAAGGGTCTGTAAGATTGGAAGTTTCTCTGATTTCCTTCTCCCAGTTGTATCAATATAGAGAAAAAATAATATTATTAAAATATCAGCATGACTGCATACAAACCCACCCCTGCTCATTCCTCAGACCATCACACAAACTTCAGTGCACATACTGCAAGATGCCAAACACTCATCAAACAGCATAAACCAAAAACCTGGAATCACAGAATCCTTTAGGTTGGGAAAGACCTCCATGCTAATTCAGTCCCACCATTAACCTGGGCCCTCTGTGTTCACCAATAATCCATGTTCCCACTTCTGAACACTTCCCTGGGAAGATTGTCCCAGAATTTTAGCAAAAATGATATAAAAATACCAGCACTGTCACAATGAGGATGTTACCTCCATCCTTGTTTAGTTTGCATCCATTAGAACCATTTATATATAAGGACTCTAAATCATTTGGCATCAGACTAGACATAATTTTAATTGGTCATTCTCCATCAGGATTGCTCCAGACAGCTTTTTGGAGTTCCTACCTGCCAGAATATTGCCCTGTGCTTTTCAAGGTGACCCAGACTCTCCTCATGCTAAATGCATTTAACATTGCCTGTGCTTTCAATGGACAACCAAAGGCAACCAAAAAGAAAGCAGGAACAGACAAAAAAAAATGCACTGGATGCACTGGGTATTTTTTTACCTTAAAACTTATTGTGTTCCCAAAATTTGCTAATAATGCAGGAAAGACATGTGCTCTACATGTCATTTCAGATCATATTTGTTATATTTACTTTAAAAATATAACAGTAGATGCAAGATTTCATATCTTGCTAATATTACAAGGCTAATCTCTTTAAAGCAGAGTGATCCATAAATAAAAAGCTGAAGTCTGGACTTCTTTACTAAGGAAAGGCTAAGTGCAATCTTACATTTGAATTCTGCATGCCCAAAAACATTCTTCAAAGTGGAGCCACCGGATATAAAATATGAAGCAAAAATTCTGTGCATCTGCTTGTAAACCAGACATTCTTTAATACAGCTTTAATAAATACATTATAAAAGCCTAGCAGTGCCGCTCCAGGTGCACACTCACGAGGCTGCTGGGGACAGGCTGGATCTACATCAGCATGTGGGAGGATGTCTGGGGTGGTCCTTACCTCAGGGCAGCCATTGCATCCCCACATGGAAAAGCCTGGAAGGTGTCCTACCATGTGGCTCTTCCTGACTCTTGTGTCAGGAAACCAATCAACTCTCCCTACACTGCATCTGTGTTACTGCTGGAGTCACTCTAGCAAGCATAACCCACAGCCACACTTTTTGGGAGGACAATTGCTCTGCCCTTGGCAAAAGGTAGAAATGCCCTTTGGCATTTTCCACACAATGGATGCACTAATGTGTGGATGCCTAAACATCCACACATTATGAAACTTTGCCTCCTATATTTCCATGAAATGAAATACCTAACTTTAGCTTCATGTCCATATCATATGTTCAGTTCACCTCCACACTAAGTGTAAATTAGCACAATCAGTTCAATCCCCAAGCAAAGCACCCAAGCCACTGGGATGGCAGTGGTGTAGGGAATTCTGCAGGGCAGGGGCTGGGCGGGGCAGCACTCACTGGAGGATGAGCGTGACCAATCGAATGGCTTCCACAGCGACGTCGTACTCCTTGTCCAGTGTCATGGACACGATGCGGTCCTGCAAGGCAACTCCAGGTCAGTGACAGCACAAACACAGCAAGGCCAGGGATGTTACAGAAAAACTGCTTCTGGGGAGAAAGAGGTTTCAACTGCACGCTGACAATGAGAGCCCCTCAATATTACCCAACTTTTTAATGCACCCCTTAGCTGTGTGCTATAACAAGAGGAACAAGCGCTTCAGCCGTCCTTATCCTTGGTGTTTGCCAGAAAAGGAGGGAGGAGACTTGGGAGCTACAGCACTGCTCTGGGTTGGATCAATTTAACAGGTCTTTCCTGCAAAGTCACATACTTGAGTTGGACAACAGCAGAAAAACTGCCCCACTTCATTCCCTTGAAACCAAATAATTTCAGAGGAAGGAATGCTGCATATACAGAAACACTGTGAAGAAAAATCACACCTGAATTCATGCATCTGCAGGTTGCCTGTAAAGTTGTGACCTTTTCCCTGGCTATACCTCAAGCTTTGAAGCAGAGCTCAAGAATTACACTACAGAGCTTCCCCAGGAAAGTGGGGAATTCCATGGTTTGATTTCGTGTTTTCCCATACTCCTGCTAGTGGAGACAAACACATCATTCTCCTGTTAAATCTAATGATTTTCTAACTTCTAAGGACCCTGCAGTTATGAGAAGTCTTTTAAGGGTTTCTCTCTCCTTAGGTTCAATTTGATTACTGGCAAAAATAGCTGTGATTGGTGTATGTTGTCCTTCCTATCTGGGGAGAATTTCCATCCAGCCATAAAAATGCAATATGTCTCAGTGCTCTTTGCTTGACTGAGCAAGTTACTGAAGAGAAATCAGGCCATCTGAAAACAAAACTTGATTTTGCTGGCTTAACCTGCTTCAGGAAGGAGTAGGTACTCCATGACATTTTGGGATATGAAAAAATAGAAATCAGGGACTGGAGAATAAACAAGGGACGGATAAGGCAACAACAGTGAAAGCCACCAGAACAAACCAAAGCAAAATAAAGGTTTTCACCTTTCTTCTCTACTGTTCCATTTAAGGGCTGAAGGGGAACATCAAGCAACTGTTGTTTATTTTAATACAGAAATTTCAGATCAGTACTTTAAAAATGCATTGTGGCTGTCTCAGGTGTTACTTCCCAACAAAACCAGGTCTGCAGAGACACTTCTTGTCACTGTGACTGAAGGGGCCTCTATCAATCACTATTAAGCTCCTGGAGAATTTGATACATTTCATGTAAATATAAACATTTTTAAAGACTGTGAGAAGTCCATGAAGAGACCCAAAGAAACAACTTTCCACATAGGACATTCTGTTATGAACAAGAAAAAAAATTACTGTCAACTTTTCCTAAGGTCCTGGCCAAGGGACAGCAATAAGAGCACCATGAGAAAGAACAGCCATAGATCCTGATCTTAAATGTCTCACTACAATTTCATGTATTCTCTCAGAGTTTCTCTTACACCCCAGGGAGGGAATCCCCTCTCCTGTCCACAGAGCAGGAGGTACCCTCTGAATCTGGAGTCCTTTGGGACTTTCAAACCAACCAATGCGAGGAGGTTTGCTTACCTTAAAAAACTGTTCTCTCATTTTTCCCAAAAAATATCAGGCTTAAAATAAACAGCAGGGATGTGTCATTTTCTGCCCTGGGGCCAGCACCTCAGTGTGGGGGCACCTGCCAGCCAGGCCCCAAGAGCCTTCCCAGCAAGACCCACACCCCCAGTGCCTCTGAGGGTGTAACCTCAGTGGCTGGGGAAGTTCCAACCCCCAGCTGCTCATCTGTCTTTACAGAGATTCCCTGTGCCATTGTACAGCAGCAGAACAGGGCACAGGCCTGGATTATTAAGCTGAAATACTAATTCTGAATGTCTCTGAAGATCAGTTTTCAATTCTATATTAGGCTGTGAACAAGCAGACTGAGGAGCCAATCTCTCTGTCCTTGTGCTCCCAGGCTGTGGACACAGCACAGGGTGAGGGATGAGGGACTCTGGCACTGCCTGCAGGGGAGTTAATACACAGCTTTTCCATACGGGGTCAGTTAATGTCTGTGTCAGACAGGACTTCTTGATGGAAAACAAAAGTCTTCTCTTTGACGGACAAATTTTTGTTTTGATGGATGAACTTATTTTCCAGCATATCACCTACACTTAGAAACACAAATGCTGGAAAGAACAGGCATTTTTCTTTGATAAAGGGAAAGGATCAAATCCTTGTCACAGCTCTCTGGAAGGAGGTGAAATATTAACAGCCCAGCACAAGGCACTCTGGATCAAATTAATTTATTATTTAAACAGCTAGAAGACCTCTAGAGAGATTTCTCTCGGTTTGAATGGATTGAACTGAACACCAGCTGAACTGTGCAGGTCGATTAAATTCTGATGAAGAAATATAAATAAGCAGCCATGGAACTGATAATGGCAGTTAGGTCAATTATTTTTCAAAGAGGTGGTGGTAGAGTCTGTGGTGGCAAGACATTTAGCTAATGTATCAGAGATTCAAAAAGCATTAATTTGGAACTGTGCTCCATCCTGGTGCCAAAGGCCACATCCCTGACAGCACAGCTGTAAATCCAAGTGCAGGCATTTGGGCCATGCCAGCTTTTTGTTCTCTTGATGTGACAGGAACTGAAAGTGATTAATCATTATGTTAAACAAATCTGTTCTCTAGGCTCACAGAGCCTGTTCTCTGTTCTCTTCTCCTCTGTTTTATTTCATAGTGATAGAGATATCTGTAGTAAAATAAGCTTGTATGGGACAGAAGAAAGAAGAATTCCTAACAAGGCTCCCTTCCCTTTGAACCTCTTAGACAGAAATGCAAATTCCCTGTACCATTCCAAGGCAAGCAGCAATGCAGTTTCCTTTAAGAGAATTGTCTGTGCTGTGAAAAGCAGGATGTATTTAGAGCTTTCATGTCCCTGTAGTTTTCTGGAGTACATTCCAGAGTAACTATTGCCCAAAGTGTCTCAAATTGTCCTGAAAGACTTGCAGGTGCATGGGAGAGTTCAGCCTCAAAGCAGTCTTTTCTTTTACAAATTATGGGAACCTGACAAAGAAGCATCCAGCACATTTTCTACTAAAGAGAAACAGATAAAAGGCCACGAGAGCTTTAGTGATCAATTTAAAAATAAATGGAATTACAGAAGCAGCAAATATAAACTAATCTTAATCTGCACAGATGGAACAGGAAAATCAGAATTGGAGGGTTCATTTTTCTGGTTGCCCTGTGAGGATAAAGCAAAGCAGACTTATGGACGCATTAGAGAATAACTTTGAGATCTGAACCTGTTTACCAGATTCTCTCCTATGACAGGAAATTTTGTCTTTACTGCAACAGCACCAGAAACTGGCTTTATAAAATTAGAAGAATGGAGGTCCTTAGGCGGTCTCTTAAAATGATTGAGTTTTATCTCCTACTTTAGTCAACTATACTTAGTTCATTTCTGGCAGACATTTATTTAATCTGCCCTTTAAGACTGTTATCTTAAAGAAGGATACTATTAATAAAGAGTCTGCTCTATTATATAGTTATCATTTTGGAAAAAAGCCTTCCTTAATATCTAGGCTTATTGCAGGTTAAGCATCTTTTTCCTGCATCTCAAGTGAATGTGGGAACAGGCTGATTATCATGTTTTTATAAACTGCTTTCATACAGGGAGAATCTACAGGGAGAAGTTTAAGTCTTGTGCACAGTATTTATAAATATTTAAATCTCCACTTTTCTAAACAGAATTTTTTATCAGCATTATAATAATGATTTAAGTTAAAATAAACCAGTCAGCTCTGTTTCTTTTCTAAACAAATTTTTCATCAGCATTCTAATAAAGATTTAAATGAGATAAATGAGTTTTTCCTTGGGGGTAGCCTTTCCCACAGCAGTGTGTTCTGCAGAACACAAAAGCCACGGGGAGAGGGAGCAGCTGACATGGTGGCAGTGCCTGAGCACTCCCCTCAGCAGGCAGCCAAACAAGAGCAGGGACAGGGTTTCCACACCCATCTCTCCAGACAGTTCACTTGTACAATAAAGCAGTCAGACCACAAAGTGAATTAACAGCCACATTCTCATCCAGATATTACACAAAAAGTTTGTGCTAATAAAAACCCCATGAAATATCCCCCCAGCACTCCTCTCCTGAAGGGCCAATCTGGCTCAAGGGGTTTGGAAGCACAATGTGAGCTCCTGTTCTGCAGCAAGGCCAGCTCAGTGTGTAAAGGACTGTGATGCACATCCAAGTGACTGTCCCTCCAAACACAAGCACATATTGAGCTAAAAAAGCTGTGTAACAAACAATCTTTCATTACAGGCTGCTACTTTCAGCTATATTTTAGATTGTGTTCGTATACATCCTTTAAAATCAATAAATCTAAAATTAAATAAGTACAGGCAGATTGAATAAGGACAATATATAAGCTATAAATAATACATACAGGCAAATAATCATCCTGGTTAAGTCTGACAAATCTTCCAAGATAAACTCTGTGAAATGGCTTTGGCTTAATTTCAGCATTCAGTAACAGTTTTAGTGGTGCAGTTACAAGCCTTGTCCCAAACTAATGAGTTTATTCTTAATAGAAGTGACTCAAAGACCACAACAGGATGATGACACTTTTACTTTCTGTCCTCCTTCCAAAAACTGTATTTCCTCTTACCTTGAATCTATTTGTGAACAGCTCCAGTTTGGGAAACAACTCTCTGTTGGTATACAGACTCTGAAGAGCTTTCAAACACTTCAACCTCACTTCACCTTGCTAAATAAAAAACACTGAGATTAGCTGTCAGAATACTTTAACCAAATGCATATGAATATTAAAAAACATAATACTGTAATTTGTTTAATGTACATTTAAAATGCTATGCAAATGACCAAAGCCTATTTGCAATTTAGCTGAAAACCAAAACCCACATGCAGTCACCTACAATGCTGAATTTCTTCCAATTTGCAAACAAAGAATTAATGTGCCATCACTTATATGTCTGTCAGTGCTTCCCTTTCAAGTGACTCCACAAAAAGATAAAGAATGCAGCAAGTAAATCCAAAATAAGGATGCAGGATTTCCAAGTGGTTGATGCAGGCAGTGTGGCTAACAAAAAGGTTATAAACACAAATCTACTCAAATATACTCTGTGGAGTTCACTGCAGTGTCAATTTACTTTTCTAAAGTGGAGACACTATGGAGTGAAGGAGCAGCAATGTGCCACAGCCCCTCAACACACCACACACAAGATGGTTCTTCATAAGTGTGAGACTCATCCAGCTCACAGGAGCTTTGAACACCACAAACACCTTCTAGCAAGGAAATAATTGGGTGGGAATGCTTGTTAGGGTGATTCTTTAGAAACTTATGCCAGTGTAAAAGCTGCAAACAGGATGGACAGGAAGGTCAGCAAGAGACTTAGTAAACTAAGAGATGAACTTAACTAATTCATTCATTAATTAATTAGGAGGTCAAGCACAAGAGGAACATCTCTTCTAGAGGACCCTGGGTTCATCCTCCCCACAGAAATAGAGAATAAGCAAAGTAAGAGGAAAGCAAAGAAGGAAAAAGCATTTTCTTATGTGTTAGGAACTGGTTTTAAGAATGGACCATGACTGTCCAGGTCTCTAAAGACAATTATGGTTTCAAAACAGTTCCACACATCAATGAAGTATGAAAATTAAGATTGAACAGTCTAATTTAAAACTCTTATTTTCAAGAGAGTTTTAAATGCAGTTATATCATAGTTTATACACTTTAAATATATGCTCCCAGATACACAGGAATAAAAGAGATGCTTAAAAGCAGAGAATGGCAAAACTTGAAAGCCACATTCAAATGAAAATCTATAAAAACCAAAAATCCCTACAGACATTTGTTTGAAATCTGACAGACATGATAAACATACAAAATATAAGGATTTTCCAAGTTAGAGAAGTAAACTTCTGTATTCTACCTCTGAAAGACTATGTTGGAGCTACTATAAAGAAGTGTAAGAACTGTTCTTCCCTGTGCTTTAATTCATATGTCTTCTGAAGTAGAATATGAAATTCCTCAGCAATCTCCTGCACTGCTGTCTCCTTTTTGCAGCAGCAAAATTCCAGAGAAGTTAATAATTTTGGGGTGACTGCTTTTCATGTGAAGTGGAAATAGCTTATGGCTATTGCCTCAGCCTTCATTTTTTAAATACCAATTATAGCAAAAATTATCTCCTGATCAAAGCAAAGCAAAATCAAGAAACTTGGATACCAGCTGGCAGTTTTTTCAGGCAGTGCCAATGAAAACCATGCTGTTAAGGGATCTTGTGCTTCTGAAAGCTTTGCATTTTCAGTTGGCTCGTACTCCATCTTTTTCCAATTTCTTCCTGTTGCACCTCCACCCTCCTTTCTGTGCCTCCCAAAATGTCCCTCTCCATTCCCTCCCTTTTCATTATTTGACACCTGCCCCAGACTCTTCCCCATTCTGCCTACAGTCTGTCTCCCTCTGCAGATGACACATCCACAACATCAATAAAACCTCCTATCAGGTGGACTGGGACATTAAACACATTAGTGATTTAAAGACTTAGAACCCCAGGGCACTTCTGTGGCCTGGAACAAAATATCTTACAAAGCAGAGGAAGAGCAGTCTGATACAATTCTGCTGTGCCTGGTCCAAATGGTCCAGTTTTTTATCCTAACACTGTAATTCAAAATTTCTCTGCTATGAAAGAACACATTGATTTTCAAAAAGGTGAGGTATAAATATGTGTTAAGGCTGCAGGCAGATGACTAGACCCTGGCCTGAGGTTAAACTAACAGAAGAGGGTGTGAGAAAATACTGCACATGACATGAGAAATTGCTGGATGTGACAGATGAGAGTGTGAGATTCCACAGATGGGTAAAGGGAGTGATGTGAGAAATTGATGGACTTCAAAGACACTAGGAGGGGGCTGAGAGCTGTGAAGTGCAGCCCCACTACATTCTGGAGGTGCTACTTTGTGGAAATGTTCTACAAGGTTTAGAATATGCTCCCAAAAATCCACTGCAATTATTCAAGGAATAATTTATTTCAATTACAAGTCCTAGTAAAACAAAGCCCTGCACACACCTTAAATCCTGATCCTCCAGCCTGAGCTGACAACCCCACTGGTTTGCTAACTTGAACAATGACATCTTCTCCTGGGGCATGGCAACTTGTGAGGCACAGCAATGTCACCAACAAGGGACACAGAGCAGCAGCTCTGTCCCTCCAGGCCCTGCCATGGCTGGGTTTCCATGTCCAGCATTCACTGAGACACAGAGCAGTGGCCCTGGGGCAGACAGTGGTCATGGCCCATGGGAGCAGTAAGGAGGATCTTCCACCTGACCAAGTTTTGCTCAATGAGAATTATTGTAAAAGTCTGGGGAAAATTTGTAAAGGAAAAGTTTGAGAACAACAGGTTTGGAAAGAAATCCCATGTCTAGAGGATATCTTAACAAGTGAACTGCTCATCCCAATGAAGGCAAGATGCAGATTCCTGGCAGCTGTAGTTAAAAGAACCAGCAGCAGCAGCTGACTTCTATTGTTAGTGAAAGCCAACATCTGCATAACTTGTGCTGTTCAGAATTCAGCACAAGAGTGACCAAGTCAGATCCTAAATATTAAGATGATGTTTGAAGTTATTGAGAAAAGTAATATTTTTCAAGAATCAGCTGTTAACTGTCAATTATGCAAGTCATCCAAATGAACTTGCAGACTGACCATTTTTTCCCAGCAGTGCTCCTAGAAAAGGAGAACAGTCTGAATCAGGATGCTGGAACTTCGTAAGCACTTCAACAGTACTCAAAGTCTGCTTTGTATTCCTTGGATAGTGACAGCAAGGGCATTTAGAGTAAAACAAGTGATTCCAGTGGTTTTGGTGGGAGTGGGAGCATAGCCAGTGCTGGTGTCCAAATCCCCCCAGGCAGAAGTGCAAAGTCTTCTGTCAGCACCCAGAATGGGATCCTCTGGCTGCAGGAACTGGGTGGATACCATCAGTACTAGGAACTGTGCTGAGCCAGAAAAGCACCTCTTTTCCTTCCATCTGGTGTTTCAACAATTTTCTGAAGAAAAAGCTAGAGAACCTTGAAAAGATTCTTCAAGGAAGGGAAAGTGAACTGACGAGCATTCCATTCATTGTGGAACCAGTGGTGTCTATTGAGGACCCAGAGATCTCCTTTGTTCCTCTAACCTTTGGAAATGTAAATGGAAGACACATGGAAACCCCTTTCCCATTGTGCTTCAGACAGAGGCTCTCAGGGGTGCTCTGAGGAAGCTTCTCTTTCTCTTGTAATCAACAGAAAAGCCCCATGGCAGGATTTCTGTCAAGATACTTCATCAGAGACTGACCACACCAAAAGCACATGGACTAAGAAGACTGGGAGTGCTGCCTCCTAACTGAAGCCAATACCTGGAAGTGACCTGATGGAAAGATACCAGGTGAGGAAACAGAACTATTTCTTTGTAAACCAAGGATGCCTCCAGTGCACTCAGCTGTATGTGGGAATACACAATACTCACCCTGTCATGTAGTGTCCAACCAACATATTTTAAATAACTATCATTCAGGAAGGCATCACTGTACATTTTCATCCAGACACCAATTTCTTCAATACAGACAGCTCTAATCTCAGCAATAGCATCACTATTACAGAAAAAAAAAAGAACAAGGATTAGCCAGATTACAAACAAATATCCTTCTCATTCCCACTGCTATAATATTTGCTGTTACTGGTCATGACCCTCACTATGTGGGGGCTGTCACTGTTCTTACTGCCACTTCACTCACCGATTTTCTGTTCCTGTATATCCTTGAACTCACTAATCTAATAATTTCAGTGTTCACATATGCTCCTACATTTCCTCTACATAAACAAATCCTCACCCTAGTTTGCTTCTTAGTCTATTACTCCATCTTCAACTTCTCTCTTTTCAAAGAGAATTATGAACCCAAGCTACAAACCTCCTGTGGACAATCATTTCTGAAACAGCATCACTGACATTTGCTTTGCAGCCCTGTCTCCAGCTCAAGGTGCAGAGCCATTGCAAGGTGGGAGAGGCTGTTGGGTTTGGCCAAAGGCATCTGCCAGAGGAGCACAATGGAATTTGCTACACAAAGAGATCTCATTTTGTACCCACCATGAACACCCCTACAACAAAACCCATGAGAATTTTGCACTTCAGCATTGGTTTCTTCCCATTTTCTTGCTTTTATCCTACATTCTGACTGGCAAGTCATGGAAGAAGCAGAGATGTATCTCAGGCAGACCTATCAGCTGCTTAGTGAGGAGGGGTGGCAGGAAACTGGAGAGGTCACCTAAGGAGACCAGGATGGAAGTGCTTTCCATCTGATTGGCACTTTCCTGCCTGCCTGACATGGAGCATGGCATCTTTACTAATAATGAAACAACGGGAAAAGGGATGGGGGCCATCTGTCCCTTCAGTAAATCCATCTCTGGGACATCTGTTACCATGAGAAATCACTTGTGTCACTCCAGCTGGCACTGCCTCACAGTTCCAAATTTCAGCTGTATACAAGAAGAACACAAAGAGTCACTGAACAGAAGAAGGGAATGTCTGGTGCTTTGCAAACACTGGAACTTGCTTCTGATTGAGACTCTTGTTTTGTATTTTTATAGAAAAAAATCTTCTTGGAAAAGTAATAAACATCAATTTAATTCTAAACCAGACCAACAGAGCCCCAAAATGAAATTTAATTTATGGAAAGGAAAGAAAAATTCCAAGCTTCAAGCAAGAGAATAACTGCAAAAACTAAAAACTGCACTGTTCTGAAAGGAATTGATTTTACAAAATGTAAGTAAAATGCACTCACTCTTCTGGTCAAGACACTGCACAGGTTCATAGCCCCAACCCAGTGCAGCAAGCCCCTGGTGACTCCACACTGGAACTATGTACTGCCCTCCTGCAGGCTGCCCCAGCTGATCCAGTGCCTTTGCCCTGCCCCTGACTGCAGACCCAGAGCTGGACCCCTGGGTCCCACAGGGACCATGAACCAAGGCCAGCATCACACATGGCCAGGGGGGCTTCTCCAGGCAGGCCTGAGTGCTTGAACCCAACTTGTGGGGAGGAAACTGTACTGCTGCAACAGCAGGAAAGCATGAACAGCATGCAATGCATTTAATGCAATAGCCTGGGGGGGACACCTGTGTGAATGCCCCAAACCACTGCCATTGTCTCTCTCTGCCTTTGAGAAACATTAATTTTAACAGCTTCCCAACAGCATCAGGAAACCTGGTCTGTCCAACTTCCTGAAGCCTCTGTAACCTCAGAACCAAGGTAAGGGACAATCCACAATGGAGACAAGCTGCATTAGGAGCAGGGCAGGGCATCAGACAAGTTGTCCTAACCAGGGATTTCTCAAACAGGTTTAAGTAGTGTAAGGACCAATGTGCTAAATATCACACTCAAGGGTTAAAAACTGCATTCCTTATGGGAAAGGCAGTCATAATGAAGACAAGTTTTAGTTTAAACTATGACTGTAGTCACAGAAACACACATATATGTGTGTCTGTGAGTGCTTAATTAGATTAGCAATTCTCTTCGATGAAGTTACTTGCAAACTATTTTAAAAGCAAAGTAGAGGTGGATGAATGCAAGACTTACAGAAAAACCTAAAAGACTAGCAAACATAAATCAAGAAAAATGGGGAGTCTGCAGCAACACCAAGTAGTGAGGAAAACATTCTTACTAGGGGATGACAGCCTGAGTACTCACATCCAAGTAAGTTATTTCACCACCTTATAAATTTACTAACTGTAAAGGATTTTGGAAGGATTTAATGGCAATACCAAAAAGAACCTAAATGTCAACAACTATTTAATCATGCAGACAGCCAGCCAAAAAGCAGGAAGAATCATGTTTTCTCTAAGAGTGCATTCAAGCTTCCCCAGGCAGACAGTGAAAAACTGCTTCTTCATTCAAAAGCCTTCTCAGGGATCCCTCAGCACTACAGACACTCACTCCAAGCTGCTAATTAAAACAAAAAAAAAAAAAAAAAGAAGAAAGCTATTCAACTTAATAGGAGATTTAATACAATAAGAATTTAACACCTCCAGTATAATTGAAAATGAGACAGAATCAAGGATGTGAGACCAGCAAACAGACTCCAGTTGCCAGAGGAGCAGGGGAACTTGTGAGACACCACTTCCCACTCCACATCACCTTCCAGGCAAATATCACTGATCAGAATCACACCTGTGTTCCTGCAGGAATCATTAACACAGACTCCATGCCCATACAATGCTGTATCAAACACAATACAGCCAAAAAAATCTTGGAACCTTTGCTCTTAATGTGGTAACTGCTTGTCATTAAACTATAATTCTTTTCTTCTAATTTTTATACAGTTAAATACATTTTGGTCACTATGAATTGTTTAGCTTTTTGAAAATACCCATTATTTCTGGATGACACAAGAACATACAAATGCTAATTATACCTGCACTGGAAGTGTTTTTGGAATAATGAATGCATTATTAATTATCATAATTATAAATTAGTGATGTAAGCTTGTATTACTTGCCAAATGCTTCTAGAAAGAAAGAGAATCTGGTCCAGTACAGAAATGAAAACTGACGTGGCATCTACAGATCTTATACATGAAATATATTTAACTCTCTTTTCAGCACAAAATGCAAAGAAAGGTCTACAAGGTGAAAATATTCACAGCCTAAGTTCCTACTCTGGGTAAAGTGATCCTCCATGATGCAGCTTCTGAAAGGATTTGACAAAAGGGGTTCAGGTAAGAAATTCTGCATTTCCTTTTGAAATTTTGGCTTGACAAGGCAGGCCCATAAACCTTAGGACAAACCACAGCAGTGTCAGGAAACAGATTTTACCAGTGCCACTCCAAGTGCCACTTCAGTGTGCCTTTCATGCCAAAGCACATACAAGAATTGTGGTTAAGGCCAGCAGTATTCAGAACTTGAGCCACAGAGTCTCTGATGGGATATTTGGGAAATATCAGGTGTAGAGCAGTGTGCTCCTCAGGGCTGCTGGAGTGGTTGTCAGCTCTGACAAAATCTGTTGTTCACACTAGACTAGCATTATACCTAGAAACTATTTAGCTATTTCTGCAAATATTTTTTGGTTTTTTTTTTTAATCTTGATAAGAAAAGTAAGGACTGAAATCTTCCAATAAATTAGAAGCCAATCTATAGAAAGAAGATGTAATTTCACTGCAATACTTGTCAGAAGACACATCCTGAACAAAACAGTTTTGGGAGTTTTGCTTAGGTCAAGGACTTGTTATTTAAGCTACAAAGGTCACTAAGCATGAATCACTGTGGCTGAGTCTGAACCATATTGAAGGATGGGACTTATTCTCTGGGAATAATTAAAATAACATTCTTTAAAAATCATCACTTTCACGGTCTAAATTATTTATAAACTTCACATGTAAAATCATGTGAAGTTTATAAATAATTTGAACTATTTGAGAGAAGGAAGGTTCAAGAAAATAAGAAGTTATGAAAGCAGATAATAGTTCACAATGCTTTACATTTTATCCCCCCGGGGCTTTGCTGTCAGTTAGCTGGGTTTCACACAGACCTTTTCCCCCTCTTTTTCTCACCCAGCTGTGAGTGCAGGAGTGTCACTCTGTGCCCTCTGCTGTGTATCATTACTCACAGTTTGGTGAATGTTGTGGCTCCCCAAAAGGTCAGGGACAGCTTGTGCTCACAGAGGTGGCTCAGGGTGGGAACAGACTCCTGCTGACCCCTCTGAACAGTGGCACAAGTGGTGCCACCACCTGTCTGATTTCAGTCAATTCCCCACGGGTCTAACAGGGCCACCATGGGCACCTTTTTCCAGGGCATGGATGCAGTTTATTGATTTGGCCTCTCCTTTTTTACAGTAACATCAGCAAAATCAGGTCTTTACTAGTGGTGGCAGGAAGCACAAAAAGAAACTTTTTTACAAAAGGAGGATTTCAAAAGAAAAAGCAAAAGTACCACAATGCAGACCACCAAAAGGCTGAGTCTTTTTCCAGTCCCACACAAGAGCATGAACTACTGAGAGGATATTTTAAAGTAATGTTTTGTTTGATATAATACAATAAGTTCTGAAAGGATAAAAATGGAAACACTTAGAATTTAATTTCTTCAGCTGTTTTACTTATGCCATGAAAGCTGCTCTCCTTACAAAATGGTGTGAGTGCAACACTGATCTAGCACACTCATGTACCTGCTGGCTCTGCATACCCATCCTCCTGCTGCCAAGCAGCTCAAGGCTTCCTGACCATAAACCATGAACTTTCTTTCCATGCTCAGGCACTGAGGAGACACTCTCCAACCCCACTGTGCTGCTCACACTCGCACCTTTGTCAGCACAAGCACCTTCCCAGTTTCCTGTGTGCTTTTCTCCAAATTACAATCATCCCTCTGTCCAACTGAACTATGGGTTCCTCTTCACCTTCTAACCCTCTTCTCATACACCCCTTTTTTCTTCCATCTTCCTAAAAGATTCTATAAATTATAAACTTTTAAAGCAGAACTGAAATGTGAAAAGTTAATTGCATAATTTGGTACCCTGGAATTTTATCTTTTGATTTCAGCAAGTCAATTAACATTTAAAGAGCTGGATGCACCAAGGTGATGCAGATGCTCTGAGACATCCTGTGACACACAACAACCCTAAATCTATTTTACAAGACTACTGTTCTCTGGTAAACCACATTCCAAATTTGCAGTTTACACCCAAGACATACAAAAGGAAATGCAGGCTGGAGGACAACTGCTATCCTATGATACACAGTAATTATTTGATTATTTTTAAGATATGTCATTTTTGTGCTTCCAACATGGACAACTTTTCTTTTCAAAATGCAAAGATTCAAAGCCCATGTCTCCCACAACCCTTTAAAGCTGTCTACTGAATTAAAAGAAAGTTGTGTGGATGGCTGTACTGAATAATTAATAGAGGTTACAATTTGCATATTCTTCCATAACTTCAAGTGTTTTGACAGTGATCCTGCAGCATCTAGAATATTACATCAGAGGAAAGTTAACCCAGGAACTGCCCCTGACTTTCCTTATGACCACACTTTATTAGCAGAGCCTACTGGAACATGCATTTTCTTACCGGTATCTATGAACAAATATACCCTTAAAAATAGAGTTCATCATATTTTCGATTTCATCTTGGTTTTCTTGTAGCTGTGAAAAACAAAACACAAAATAAATAAAAGATCATTATTTATTATAGTCTGGTATTCTACACTTCCCTACTGGGAAACCTTAGAAGACCTTGGAAGAGCACTTGAGTAGATTCACCACTTCTGCTTTTCCAGCACATGCCTATATTGTGGGCATATACATACAAATATTTACATTATATATGCAATATCTTAATGGAAGAAAATTAACATTCACTACAAACATCAATTTAGTCTCTCAAATTAGTTCTTTGAAGTGATCATAAACTTTTGCTACTGAAAATGAGACAAGTAGAGACAATGTGTGCAGAAATTTCAGCAGCGCTGTGTTCACAGGGAAACACAGAGCTGAATGAATGACAGCTGCAGAAACAAAGCTGGTTACAGATTAGTTTTGAAAAAATTAATGTTCTGTTTAAGGAAAGGAGTTGAAGTCATTCTCAAACTTAAGTAAAAGACTGTCAGTTGCTTGAACTTCAGCACCCACACTAACTGGGTTTCAGAAGAAGGAAGATTTCCATGATCAGAGCACACCTGACATCCAGGCCTGAGCCTGCAAGAAACCAAACCCAATTCCAAATGAAAAGGTGTTATGAGCATGCTTTTATAAATAAGAGCATTTTCTTAAAAATCTTTTCACTTCCTGAGTAACATGAGCACGTTTTGCAAGTACTATGGGAAGCTTACCTTGTGTCAATTAATATGTTAACAAAACTTGGAATTAATTACAGTACTCTCATACTGTCAGATATTGTACTAAACTAAGTATAACTTAATTACACCTAAAGGCAGCTTTGTTAATAAGATGACACCAATTTTATCCAATCAGTTTTTGGAGCAGCCATCATTCTTCCATCAAGGTGTTCATTACAGTCCAAGGACAGCACCAAAATGTGGGAATGTAAATTTGTCCACACTCTCACAGTAGCAAAACCACAACAGAGCCTTGCTGGTGGAGTACACATATGCATAAAATAATTAAGCCTGTATAATTGTGGATGTATATATTTAACAGATAAAAGGTTTCAAAGCCAGAGGCAAAATTGTGATCAGCTGGTTTGACCTCCGGAATGGCATGAGCTCTGAAACACTTCCCCCTAAGGGCTTCTATTTTTCAGCCAAATATTTCCACTGCATCTTCCAGGTATGAGCTGACGTAGCTTCAGAACTCAGGGAGTGAAGCTTCCCAGTTCAGTGAAGTGTAAGGAGGTGCTGTCTCCTTTTTGCATGTGGAGAAACCAAGGCATTGAGGGCTCTTGACTAAATTGTCAAAAAGCTGCCAAAGAACTAATTTTACAGTAAAAGGGATTATGTACCAAGGGAAGAGCTGGGCCCACACCAGCTCTGCAAACATGAACCAAGCATATTTAGACATGGCCTCTGGGAAAATCACTATTTGCAGCATCAGCTCAACCCAAATTTGCACAGACTAAATGCTTGTTTGAGAATTCATAATCCAAAGGGGACTGTGAGTTCCTAATCACCCCTTAGCTGGGTGGTTCCAAAGGCTACAGGCAGGGAAATATCCACAGCAACATGGAGGTAGAGACAGCCTAGCACAGGCTGTGCAGTACAATGAGGATGGGAATGAACCAAGAAGCCTCAGGAGGCTTTCTGAAAAGCTACCAGAGCTCACACAGAACTCAGGGAATGATTTCTTGCTATAAAACCACACCACAGAAGACAGGTAGGAGAGGATGGACTTTGTGAGCCATGAGAAAGTTGAGACTCTGAAAAAAGTGTCCCTTGACAACTCTGGGAGTGGAAAGTGAAGCAGCACGGTAGAAGCCCGAGCAGCACAAATGAAGGGACAGCACAGATGGCTTCCTCCCTCTTCTTCTGCACAGAATTTACAGTTCACTATAAACATGGTGAATTATCATCTGGTACAGGTATCCAGGTGCTGGGGCACAGCTGGTGTGGAAGCACAATCAGAGATTCAGTAGGTCCATGTGAGATTGCTTTTACCTCTGTGTAGTAACATTTAAAGGATATAATTCTCAAATGTATTTTAGATTCAGTAATGAATTTTATCGGAAACTCTAACTGCTGTCTATACTTTCAAGTTTTTTAAATCATGCACTTGAATCTGAGTGCTTAACTTCAAGTATCTTGAGGGAACATCTGTGTCTTGGGATTCCTGCTCTTACCAATGCAAAAATGATTTAACATTCCCCCTCTTAAACAGAGGTAAAAAATGAGGGAAACATTCTGTTGTTGACTCTGCAAGCAGGTGTGGAAGCTCAAAAAGACATGTATGACAAGCACAAAATTTAAATTACTACTGGCAGATATTAAAAAAACAACTTTCTCTGCTTTGCACCATATTGCTACATAAATAATCCACTTGAGCTGAAAATCTCTTTGATAAGACAGAGCTCCATGCATGGCTCTCCCACCTGTAGATGATGGCCTGATATTGAAACACTTCAGGAAGTGCTCCCTCTCCTCTGCTTCAGATTAACTTGACACACTCAGCTGGTGAACTGTCCCTCTGTCAGCTCATGAAGACCAATACATGCACGGGTATGTGCTCAGGAGGAGTTGTTAGGATGGCACTTCATCAAAGAATCAACTGAGGAAGTGCCAGCACAGAATGTCACTGTCAAACAAAGTATTTAAACAGTGGGAATATACAGTATTATGTCAGGAATTCTTCCACAGAGCATTAAGCCATCTAATCCTAACAGATCCCTTCTGCCCAGGTGCCCCTGGTGTGCTTAACCCCGGGGACGTACTCGACCTGGCCGTTCCCAGGCAATGCTTTGCTCAGCTGCCATGAGCAGTGAGATGAGAGCCCCTGAACACACAGAGCCAAAGGTAAGGACTAAGAAGTGTTCCTTCTCCTGCCAAGGCTCCCCAGCCCTGTGCAGCCCAGGCATCCTTGCTGCAGCTCCCAGAGAGAGGATGTCCTGCAGCTCTGACAGAGCAGCTGGGGGAACGGGCACAGAGGAGTTCCCAGCCACAGAGCCACCAGCCCAAGGTAATCAGTGCAATTAGTGCCTTTGTTCTCTGCAAATTCAAAGCAACAATCAACAAATGTGGAATAGAAACTCTGTTCCAGCTATTTTGCGTTTCAAAACGCTTTAGAACTCACATGCAATTTAATATTTAATTTTAAATGTTTCTCTCACAGTTTAGGCAGGAGAGATTTTTCTTGCATCGTATTTTAATGCATGCTTTTCAAGAATTATGCAAACCAAATAAAGTTGTGCTACAAGTCATAGGGGTAAAATAAAAATATGTAATTGTAATTATCCCTAGACAAAGACTACAAAGTCAAGCAATTCACATCAAAGTTACACCTAAAGGAATTCAAGGTGCACACAAGCAAAGTACCGAGACAGTCTTAATTGCCACAGAGTAAAACAGTGGTAGAGAAAATTCAAAACTAATATATTAAAAATCATAAATTTATATCTAATACAAACTTTGATTTTCAATTTCTCTTATGAGTTTTACTTGGCATCTTTACACATTATGTTTGTTTGGATGTATGTGTATTAATTTTCTACTTGTCATCTTTAAATTTAAGTACACCTCTAAAACTGAAGTTTCCTGTGATATAATACTTTATTTAGGAATGATTACAGCAACCTTCTAATGGTTTTTCTCACCTAAAGCCAGGCTGGTACTTACTAAAGGCGACTTTAATGTCTCCCTAGCTCCTTCTCCCTGAGAACAGGTGCTATAGCCTCAACTCCACAGTGTTTCCTGAAAGCAGCTAAAAAAGAAGTAGCAATGAGACACTGTGGAATAACTGCAGTGATCAAGGGGAAAACTGGGCAGTGCAGGGAGGGAATGTGTGATCCTCTTGTCAGAATCTTTCTGCATCACCAGAACAGTGACTGCTTACAGTTTGAGACTCTTCTTGCCTGGCCATTCATAGAAGCTGGAGAAGAGAATTCTCCTTTGCATGCAGAACAGCACCACAAACTCAACTGAAAGTGGCAGCACAGGATTTAAGTAGTCTGCTTGAGATCACACAAACACCACTGCAGAACTAAGCTCTTTCTCACTGTGGTACTCGAGTCACAAACCACCCTGGGCTTTCTGTTGGACAGAATGCACATGAACCAGGAAAAAAAAAATTGTCTTTTCACTTGCCTCTTTTCTTTTCTGAAGCAGCAGCTCCAATCTTTCATTAGCTCTTTTGCCAATCATTTTGTTTCTCTCAGCTTCATACTGCCTCTGTGTATTGTCCTGATGAATGCTCAGGTTTAAGGCAACATTCACAAGAGCAGTCATAAGCTTCATAGCTGCAAAAGCACAAGACAGATTATGACTCTTTACCTGTAGTCAGAGCTCAGAAAATATTTCCTCAGCAGATCCATACTCACAGCAAAAAGCCTCTCAACCCTGGCCCAGTGTCTGGATAGGGACTTCCACCCAGGTGGAAGTGGCCCATGGTCAGAAAGCAGAGTCTGTACCCCACACTGAGCTGCAGGCAGTGCTCCCTGCTGCCTGCTCCAGACAAGCTCTGAGGGCACCAGGGAGCCAACACCTGAGCCTGCAGCATCAGGGGCACCATGAAGGCAGCTGCTGGGGAGTTACAGCCATTTCTGCACAGGAGAGGACCAGCAGAGATGGCTCCATACTAAGGGTGACCTTAACCAATGGCTGCTGAGGTTGGCTCAGTTCACAAGGGACCACAGCACAGCTTCTCTGAATGCAGGTCTGACACTGCTCTAAAGTCAGCTGTACAGCCATATAAAAATGCAATTTTTATTTTCACACATGCTGGATATGATATTGTTCATGTCTGCTTCTCAGTACTAAAATTTATTGTTACAAAAAACATTAATAAGGGTCTTCCCCAAGTTCTGTGTGGTTACATAGTACAACACATTTTACAATGTTGAAAAAACAGCAAAATAACGCAACAAACTATCACATCCTCTCAGCATGCTCCTCTGAATATGCAGCATTGCTTCCAGGAAGAAAAGCAACCACACAAATGGAGAAGTGAGGCAACTTGTATTGATTTGCACTGCTACAGGTCAAAACTGGTAACCTACAGGTACTTCTTCCTACAGTGAATCATCTCTCATTCCAACTGACTAGCATGGAGGAAAAGTGAAAACAAGGACCTATAAACACTCCTTCAAGAAGAAATTCCAGTCTACAAGTAGCTTTTCAAAAACTTTATCAAGAATGAGCTCCATGGCATCATGTTGACCTCTGTTCCTTGGGACTGCAACACAAATGTTGAAAACAGCTTGAAGGAAATGTGTGGCATCAAAGCAAAGCCTCAAGCTGGTTACAACAAGCAAATAAATAAATAAATAAATAAATAAATAAATAAATAAATAAATGGCATGTACTGTCACTGGTAAATGCTGAGATTCTTGGCAGCTCCCATCTGTGATGCAATGTTAGATAAATGTGTCATTAACACAAGTGGATGAAATAACTGCAGTCAGTTGTGATGAACCGCAGCTTTAGCATCAGCTTATTCTTGCTGCAAGCTTCTAGCTACAGAATCCATTCCAAACAGTGGAAACTCTTTATTCTGCAGAGCACAGGTCTTGGGAAATAACTGTTCTAAGTGCTTCTGTTTCCTGCCTTTTAATCAAGCTCCTCATACTTTCCAAACATCCACCCCATGCAGGAATGGACCAATCACTCCCAGGGACCAGAGTGCAAACCTCACTCCATAAACCCTTCCCTTTGAACCAATCAACCACAGCCTGAGGAAACAGCAAACCAAAACCACCCAGAACTGCAGACAGCATCAGATGGAAGGGAATAGTTTAAATAACAGGCATGGATTTCCAGCAGGTTATCTAGGCTCAAACAGTGCTCACCTTGGAATACTGAATTTGAAGAGGAAACTCCAAACCTGGAAGCTTAAGCCTGCATAATTCACAGTTTTACCATCCCATTGCTAAGTGTGGTGAAGAACACAAGGGAATGTGTTTCCAAAGGAGTTCAGTCACTGTCAGTTGAAGGGTTTGGGTTTCAGTTTTAAGATCAAAATCCACTCAAATCTGGAGTTGTTTTTTCAATATCATTGGAAATCTGCCTCTTTCTTTGATTCATAATGAGAGATGACATTTTAAATAAATTCTGATTGTATTTGTTTAACACTGGTATTGAAACTGAAAAAATGTCTATGAGGCTGACTGTGGAAAGACTAAATAGTAATAAATACTGGCCATAGAAACATTCAGATTATGACAAATGTCTGCTGTAAGAGTTTCAAATATCTGGTATGATCTATGAACCTTGCAATAAGATGGATTTCTTATCACCTGACATGACCAGCTGTAGACACCTACACCCAAGCCAGCCACTCTGGTAGTGCTTTGTAATTGAGAAAAACAGTTCCTTGTGGAGAGCAATTCATCCCTCTTAGAGGAGACATCTCATATAGGTGTGATGAAATACACAAGGAAAGCCCATTTCTATGTAATGATACAGCCAGGGCTTTCCTTAGGTGAGGAGCTGCACTAGAAGGTGATGTGGCTGCAGGCAGAAGACAACCATGACCCAGTAATCCCAAACCTTATGCTTCTCCAGAGTTAAGGCACAGATTATCTTTTCTGGTGAATGGAAACTCTTTGATAATACAACTGTTCTGATACTTCTTTAGAATAAATTTATACTCTAAAATATATAATTACCCCAACATTCTGTACAACAAATGAACAATTAATAACAAAATACAAGACATAAGCAGGCCTGATTGTCAGGATTCACTGGGATGACAGGAATCCCTACGTGCCTCAGCACTTTCCAAATAAAAAGGAATATTTTAATTCTAGTTGTACCACGTGTGGTACGTGGATTTGATGAAGCTTCCCAGAGTTTTAACATTGGCCAGGGTTCCAAATGGCAAGCAGGACAAGCAGCAGCAAGGGCAGCTCAGCTCACTCACCAGCCAGCGTGCTGGTGTGCCGGAAGGCGCGGACCTGCGAGTCGGAGAGGCCGGTGAGCAGCGAGATCACCGTGTCCATCATGTACTCGTCGTAGATGATGCTGTACTGGCACTGCCGGATCAGCACCCCGATGAACTCGCAGAAGTTGGAGCGGAACTTCTTCCACTGAGGCCCAGGCATGGTCAGGGGATAATCACCACTGTCCTGCAGAACAACAGAAGGAAAAGATCAAGTGTTAAAGGTGTCCCCATTTAATTTATTTTAATGTTGGTGTACCCATTGTGGTCTGTGGTTCTAAAATAAACATCATCCTGTTCCTTCAAGCCAAGGGAAAATAACATAAAAACAACACATTATTCTTCAAGAAACAGGGAGGCTTATTGGCATGAAACCACTTTTGCAAAGACACCATTGTAATTGTTTTCTACTTGCAGTATTGGCTCTGCATAGTCCAAAAGAAGTATCAAGACTCAATTCTCTTCCTTGTATTCTTGGTTAGGAAGTGGGAGCAAAGGATGAGGCAGGAATATTTCGAAGTACTTAAAGTCAAAATCCAAAAAAAGGCTTGTGTGATTGACCGTTTGTGTCATTCTCCATCCACTTAAGGTTAATATTAAGTGGATGCCAAACTTTCTGAATGACAGCCTTGGCATTTCATTTAGAACTGTCAGAGGCACTGCTGTCCTAGAGAAGTACCTGCTCCAGCTTTAGTTTTCCTCACTAAACAAAATGAATGCTCAAAATATTCAGTGTCTTATACACCAAAAATCAAAGAAAACACAGTTCAAAAATCTCAAAGCATTCACCATTAGGAACACTTTTATTTTGACAGAAGATACCCAGTCTGAATTGTAATTTACTTATTTCAAACAAAATGCTCAGATCTTTTGAAAAAGTATTTCTTTCTGTATCGCTTTTCCAAAATGGTAATTTTCATGTCAAGTTCCTATTTGGTTTCAATTGCCATTTAAAATGCACAAAACATTAATTTGCACAGAGAAAACAGAGCAGAATGCTGTAATCCTGTCTCATGAATCTGATGTGTCAGGAATCTGGAGCTCTTTGTTGTAAGAGGCACTCCCAAGAGCTGAAGCTCAGCACCCAGAATGCCACCACCACTCTCAGTGGGATGAGGGTTCTCCAGTTCCTCTTCCTGCCTGCTCTGATGAACCTCTCTCTGCCCTGCTTCTCTGCATCCAACAGCTGAAGTTGCTGCTTTGCTTGCCAGCAAAAGTTTCCCACACTGAGACATTATTTATCCACTGGCCCACTGCATTTTTAATTTAAACCAGAAGTATATGGTAATATATTTCATAATACTTCAAACAGCTATTTGTATACTCTACCTCATCAAATTCTTCTGTCATTTTCCTTATGATTTCTGCATTTTGCATGTTCCTGAACATTTCAATTCTTACCGTACCTGTAATGTAATGAAAGAACAAAAGAAATGAACACAACATGGTTTTGCTACATCAAAACATCAATGCTTTCTGCTGCTAAACAAACAGCTCAGTGATACACATAAGAGTATGCAGAGTGCAACAATAACAGGAATGTTTTGAAAAAGGCTATCTCCTGAAGAAGTAGGGAAAGAGGACTCATCTGTCCTGTAATGTGTTTCCAAATGAGGAATTAGTATCATTTTCCACCCTTCCACTCTTTGCATCCAAGCAGAAGTGGTAAAGCAGCGATAACCATGGAGTACTAGTGTCATGTCTGCAGCTGCCCAAGGTTTTCAATTTTGTCTGCAAAATCAAATGAGCACCATCTTTCATTTTCACAGCCACTCCTGTGGCTCTGCACTTTCCATGCTGAGTCCCCTGGATGACAGATATCCATGTTCTCTATGCACCCACAGGGAGTTGTCACACTGCTCAGCCCAGGACCAGCATGGTTTATTGACTGAGGCATGCTTTCCACACCAAAGGCTCCAAAGAGCTCAGCCAAGACATGAGCCAGCTCAGCACCAGAAGCAGCAACTGTATTGCTGTTATTCTTTAATGAAGATCTTCCACTCTTCCTTGCTACCTGAACACTGGAGTTGATAGGATTAATTTTTCATTGTAAATAAAACAAAGTTACCAAAATTCAAAATAGAACAACACAATAGCTATAAATGAAAATTCTTGTGTCTCGATCAAAATTCCATCAGTGTACAAATACAGTATTCTGACATATTATTGCCTCCTCAACTAGACACTATCTAAATATCTAACCATACAATCCAGGGCAACATAAAGGTTTTTTTGGTGCTGCTGCATGATCTTCTCTTCATCACTTCACTATCTTTGTTTGTTAATGGAGGAAATTCAGAAAAATTAAGCAAACTGCAGAGCTACAAAATCCATCCCAACATAATTAACGTTGCAAAGAGTAAGTCTCTCAGGTTTTCAAAAAGTTCAACTGGATTAATAAGCCACTGCATGGCTTCAAAAATTCAGACCATAATAGAAGCAACTTAACAGCTAACAGTATTAGTCACTCTACAAAGGATAAATAAAGATAATTTAAACATGCCAAATATTATGCAAATGTTTTCATTCTGGTGTTTTATTCCTTTAAAAAACAGCATTAGAAATATATGCATTTCAAAATATACAAGCTCAGAAAAGCACACCAAGTCTGTCTATGTTAGTACGGGTACAGTTTTACACAGCAAATAAAAAACTGATTTCTTGAATTGCCTTTGTTTCTTCCTGAAATAATATTTGTTATCTATTTCATACTGGGTAATACTGCCAACCTCAGTTCTGACAATGGCAATTTGAATTTGTGCATGGTAATTTCCATATCATTAACAAACAATTACTAATGCAATATATCAACATAAAACCAGGAACTCAAGAGAATACCACCATGTGACAGTTGAAAATATATTTTCTCAGCTTGAAAATCATCTGTACATGCAGATATATTTTAATCTTTCCCTCAATCCTAAAAGTTTTGTTTTGGCTAAATGAAGTAGTTTCCCAGTATGCCTCAGAGCAGTGAACAGGTACTATTGCAAACCCCTGTGCTGCAGAAATGCTCCTTTCTCTCATGGCATGCTGGTATCTGCTGCTCTTCCCACTGGCAGCATACCCCTCAGCCAAAGAGGAACCTACTGACCTTTGCTATTTTACTGGTTTATAGCCCTGATCCTAATGATATTCTTATCTATTTATGGCTTCTAATAACCTGCCACAGCCTCAGTTTCTGTGCAGTCACAGCCAGGGTAGGCAAGAGCTCCAAGCGCTGCCAAGGGAGCATCAGCAAGCACCTGAGCGGAGAACAGCTCTTACCCACTGTCCTGTCCCATTCTTTCCCCACTTCTCAGGACCCACTTTACAGAAGTCGTGGAAAGCACAAGGGGTGTTTCTGCTTGGCTGGCAGTAGGCAATGCCTCTGGTCTGACTTTTGTCTGACCCCATCTGTTTTCCTGGCAAACTCATTTAACACTGTAAGTATGCTACAAGGTTTTGCTCAGATTTCATGGTGACACCACAACGTTTCAACATTGCAGTGGTCAACATTATTCAAACCCATAGTTTTTATGATTAGTGAAAAGCAAAATTTTCCCATTTTCAGGTGAATCCTTAATATGTAACAGATTGTCTGTAAAGTACAACTGAGGAGTGGCATGCATCCCAGAAATCTTTACCTTACCCAAATCGCTTCACATCCTTTTCTAAGCTGAGTTTTACCTCTGCCATGAAGCTCTCACTCTGTATTTGGTGCAGAGAATTGAAATTGTGTTAATCCATTAAAAATTGAGAAGCCTATTTCACTTCAGGACTAAGTTCTCAGTTAAAACTTATTCACATACATTATGTTCTAAAAAGTCTTCTCACTGACATATAACTATATTTCCTTAATGACCAAATTCCAGTTTAACTTTCAGATAAAACAAGTATCAACATAATTTGTCAATAACCATCCAACATGGCCTTTAAAAGTGAAAACGAAAAACCCATACAGAACACAAAACTTAATTTCAATGAGAGAAGAGAAAGACTAAAGACTAAAGGGGCCTATACAAAACTGGATGAATATACCTTAAAAAACCCTAAACTGTGTACAAAACCAGATATAATATTTCTGGGAGATATAACAAGTGGATTCGGTGGCTTGAAAACATGTATTTAGAGTGAGAAAAAAAAACCAGTTTTATTAGTAAGTCCTGTAAAAGCAAAGCAACAATAAAGATCTCCAAGAGCTTCATAGGATGCAAAAGCTCTTGAGTCTGAGCACCAACCAGCCTTCACTAGCAGGAGTTACACAGGGTTACCCCTGGGATGTGGGTGGTCCCAGGACTGCCTTTCCTGCTGCTAACAGGAGGTCCTGGCACTGGCCACTGCTGGCAATCAGGGAACACCATCACACCAAGTGCCCCACTCCAATGCCTCCTACATATGGCAGCTCTGGGATTTCTACAGGAAAAAGAAAAGACAGATGAGAGAAACATCAGCTCTAGGAGCCCATTTACAGTCACTCCTGAAATGTTACTCTGGTTACTGCTGATGGCAATTAATGATATGCTCTGGAGGATATTACCTCTACTATATGGTCAGTTTTCATCAGAGGGACCTTTATTCACCAAAGCTACACAGACAATTTCATCCCTTCTATTTTAGACCACCTGCCCACACTGAGTAAGCTGCAAGAAAAGTAGTGGGAAAAGTGCAGCTCAAGACTGATGTGAATGGATATTAAATAAGTCTACAATCTCCTGCCAAAGGAGGATTAATTGTAGCACCTTAAATTCATGGTAGCTGATTAGACTGATCTCTCAAACACATGAACTGTGTTTGAAAAAGGAGAAAGATTTATAGAAGCATTGAGAAGAAGACACAAGGAAATTTGCCCAGGAAAGTACATGAAAAACACAATGTGCTCTTTTGCATCAGCTCAAACTCAATAGTGGAGACCACAGCACCAGAACCTAATTGAAATTGCCAGGAGAGGGCAAGTTTAATAAAACATTTGTGAGGATGGATGCTGATTACAGAACTGCTGGATGGGCAGTATTTATCTCCCTTGATATCATTCAATGTGTAACTCCTATACCTTTTGTCCCACTTATAATTTAGATCATAAGAAATAATCCACTTCTATTATGTCCTTAAGTGCAGTTTTCAATCATCTGAGAAGTGGTACTGACAAATTCTGTGTGACAGATGATGAAGACTGAAGTCAAACCATCAGGAGCACACGATTTCTCAGTGCTCAGCCTGGGTCAGTGTACTCTGCTGTAGCACCTCCACTGATTGTTTCCAGAAGAGAGCTGTCTAAATCTACCCACAAACTACTCAGGCAAGTAGAAAAGTTCATTTTCTGTGGCTCACTCACGATCACGTAAGAACACTGAAGTAGCTCTTACCTCATTGGAATCAATAGACGTTAATCATTCATTTAAATAGAAGCAGTAGTGGAGCAGTTGAAGCATATCCAAATAGATGCTGAGACTCCTAAATCCCACCAGGGCTCCTGACTTCCTATTGATTTCTGTCCCTAAAAACTGAAACTCTTTGCTAAGACCAGAGGTCAAGACTTGAGAAAGACATCAGTATAAATATTTGGTTGAATTTCCACACATGTAGGAATAGAAGATCCTTTCACTGATTTATTCCCCAATTCTTCCTGCTGCATGGACTCTACACTGCCCAACTTCTGCTGCCAGTGAAGCAATATTCAAAAGACAGAGGCTTCCTATAAGGCACACAGCCAGTTCATCCTTAGAGCAGCTTTTACCAGTGAACTCTTACTGAATGAATCAGCAAGAATCTCAGTGGAAAAGTAAGTACAGTCTTGTGCAATTAAAACCTTATCAAACAGAGAATCACAGATAACTGTTAAAAAGAATTCTAATGATTCACTGAAGTCTATCCTCCTACAGCAAACCCAAAATTATGTCTGAATGTATTCTGGGAACCCTCTTTGCAATGTGAAGACCTTACACACAGTACAGCCATGGAAAGTACTGAAGGGCTGAACTCAGCAGTGTCAGAGGGCTTTTCCAATCTAAACAAGTCCATGAGTCTGTGCTTAAATCAATCAGTAATGTTAATGCAGTCAACATCTATAGGGAGCATCATTAAAGGCTCTCAGTAAATCTGGGAGGATTTATCAATTGGGGTTTTTTTTACTAACATAGGGGTCACTGTAAAATACAGTGGAATTTAATATCAAATCCTTGCTATTTCTGATACTCAAATTCAATGACAATTGTTCCACTTTAAGTGCAATTCTGTATTACACTTAGAAGTTCAAAGTTCTGAATGAGATTAACGAGTGGATAACTTTATACACATAACCAGCATTTAATATGATTTGAACTGCTAATCTCTTTTAAAATCCAAAATGTTATTTGATCCAGAAGATAACAGTGATGGCACTTATTTCTTCATTACAAGTATGGGAAGAAATATACTGAAGATAATC